AACCACCGAGTCCCCTGTGGAAAATCTGGTCCCGAGAGGTCAGAGGTCAAAGTTGAGGATTTGAACCCACACTTCCTCTGCGCGGGGGACGAAAAAAGCAACCGCGACGGAACAGACGCGACCAGAGCTACTTCAGTTCTCAAAACACATCCACAGTGACTGGCCTCCCCCGTTAAAAGTGTGACAGACCCCAGGGTACCAGAGGGTTCCCACTGCTTTAAAGAACTGGCTTCATGACATAATTAGAAAAGTGCACAGGCAGTTATTCTCAAACTTGGGAATGAAGTTTTATTGCTGGTCTATTTTTATTTTTCGCAAGAGATTTAGTTCATAGGAAACGGAGATATTGTCAATTAAATGTTCCAAATTACATTAAATTGACTCTTCTGAGCTTTAAGCCTTGTCATAATGCGGTTACCTCAACAAAAATGTACTGAAAGTTGTATTTTGTTCACACTGGTTTCTTAGTCGGTCTACATCTCCAAAGTTCAAAATGCTCTGTTCCACCTTGTGATGTCATGAAACTGTAATTTTTGAGTTAACAGCTACTTTAACAGTTATAACGTTGTTTCCTCATCACAAACATACCTAAAGTTGTGTTTTGTTTCATTCACACATGTTTCACGCACAAATCCTGCATATTAATATTCGAACTGAAAACACTGTTCCACCTTGTGATGTAATACAGGAAGTGCTCCAATATGTTTTTAAACTCCATACACTGTGGTTAGAATCATCTGGATAATTTCAGCTCTGGAATTTCCAATCCTTACTGAACTGAAGATAAAAGGTAGCTGTTCATTTGGAAACTACTGCTTCGTGACATCACAAGGTGAAACAGAGCATTTTGAGCTTTGGAAATAGACATACTAATAATAAAGGATTATTCAAACATGTGTGTATGAAACAAATAAAACTCCAGGTATGTTTTGATGATGTAACATTATAACATGGTTTAAAACTAAGAGTCTACTATATTTTGTGTAATATGGAGCCTTTAAAGTAGCTAAATCCATGCTATTGGTCTAATGATATAAGGAAAGTGAGTCCCCATAAACTGACTGATTGTGTATACACATTTTAGTGATAAATACCCACCCACACATTCACAGTACACAGTTACACACTTGACATGTCTCTTTAACTTCATGTAATGGTTGAAAATACTATAGGAATGCATCCGTTACAAAACAATGCCAAACAAAACCTGCTGCAGTTTTGCGGGATTAAATGCAACAGCAACCTCCAAAAATCAATACAGTCAAATCCTCCCTTACAGTATCCCCAAATGATTCAAAAAGAAAACCATATATACACACCAACCTTAGTCCAAACACTAGTTAAGCCTAAACCAGTGGTGAAACGTAACAATGTAAAAGTAGTAAAATACTGTACGTACGTAAAAACTTTAGGTGTCTATACTTCAAGTAGAAAGACAATTTAAAGTGGATACTGTTTACTTTACCTCACTACTATTACCACTATTTGACAGCAAGTATCTGTACTTTTCTACTCCACTAACTATACTGAACTGAAAAGCAAATGAAAAGCAAATGTAATTTTTACTATAGTTTGAGACCTGCCGAAAAGATCATTTTTAACAGGTTTATATTTTGAGCAAACAAGAATATACAGCTAAAAGAAAAGAAAAGAAAAAACAACAACAACAAAAAACAAAACAAAAAGAAACAATTGATTAAATCCAGCACAAATCTTTATTAAAATCACTACATTTGAAGGTTAAGTGATCTTTTTATTCTTAAACTACATTCACTGTAGAGCACTATAAATACAGTTACTTCAATACTTTTACTTATTATTATTATTTATTTTTTTCATGTGACACTTTTAGTCAAGTATTTTATTGCTCTAATATCTGTACTTTTACTTAAAGGTGCATTGTGTAACTTGTCTGGTGGAAGGTCTGTCAGATACTTTCCCCCATGAAGACGTTACTGCTTTATCTGGAATGTTTCACAGTATGGCATTAAACCTTTGTATTTTCATGGAGACCAAACCAGACCAAATTACTGGTAAGCTCTGTGGAGGGGTGACCCCACTCACTGTCAGACTGCCTGTTTTTTTTTAAGTATTTCTGAGCTCTAAAACCACCTGTAATTGAATAAATGTAAGTTGGTGCTGTTTAATGTCATACTGTGGAACATTCCAGTCAGTGCAATGATATATCCATGGAAACAAGCAAGTGACAAAAGTTATTTAGTGCACACTTTAAACACTCTTCACTTAAATTCTCTAATATTATTATAATTACACAAGTTCATTGCTATGGTTCCAGTTTTCCAGGGTAAGTGTGAACCCTGCCTGGCTCTAGTTATCACCACAGCTTGCAGTAAAACGAGTAACATTGGCTCCAAATAAAAAGCCACAATATTTAATTTTCCGAACATGTTGTGAGAATGAACCTTTGCATGAATCCCCAGATGTCCTGCTTTCTCATCCGTGGTTCAGAGTGTTTTAAAGTTCCATGTAGACTTACTAATGTTATTAAAGGGGAATGGGAGGACAACTCTGCAATGATGTCCCCATTCAGAACATATGGAACGGATGGAAGCAAGCTGCCAGGTCCACAAGCCTCACACTAGAATACGAAGCAGAGATGTAGCTAAAAACATTGCTGTGTGAAAGGTGCTGAATTACTCAAAATGTACTGTTAGAATGTTGTTACCTCATCAAAAACATACCAGTTTGATCTCATTCACACATGTTTGAGTAATCTTTAATTATTAGTCTGTCTACAAAGTTCAAAATGCTTTGTTCCACCTCTTTATGTCCTGAAGCGGTAGCTTTCAAGTTTACAGCTACCTTTCACCTTTAGTTCAGTAGAGATTGGAAATTCCAGGACTGAATTGATCAAAATGATTCTCATGAAGGTGTCTAGTTTAAAAACAAAGTCAAGCACTTCCTTTATTACTACATGACATCATAAGTCATCAATTAAAACAGTAAATTATTCAGAAATAAATAATAATAATAATAATAATAATAATAATAATAATAATAATAATAATTAATTATTATTATTATTATTATTATTATTATTATTTCCAAATCGCATTGTGCATTTGAAAACTTAAATCTTAAATTGAAGATTAGAGGTAGAGATATAGCAGCCTAAAACGTTGCTGGGTTAAACGTGCACTATGTATTTCCGTTGCTTTATGGAAAATGTTGCATTTACTGAATGCAAAAAAAAAAAAAAAAAAGAAAGGATTCTTACTGAAAGAGGGCTTTTACATTTTTGTAAGCTATGGACTGATGTAAAAGTGAAATGTAGAAATGTCATGGTTTTGTTAATATCTCATGTTATATTGAGGTGTGTGGTTGTATTGAATGTGTGTATTGTGTTTTATTGTGTCATTTATTTCTGTAAATCAGGGACTGTAGATGGGAACTAACTGTTTGGCTCTAATCTGGTGTGGAACTCTCTGTTTTTATGACCTCAATTTCTAACAATACTAAATTCAATTATAAGTAAAAATTAGGTTCATTTGACCAACAGCTCTCCAGTGCCTTGACCCCAACCCACAAACCCGACCAGCACAAACTGTTCTTACATATATATATATCTGTATCCATGTAACAGGAAGTGGCCATCCCTCCTTCCATTGTACGTTACTGTGATAAAAATGTGTAGTACATACTTGGTCTCTGGGGCCGTGATCCCGGTCTGGTCTTGCTGGGTTTATAAGCTCCAGTTGTCCCCAAAGTCCCAAAGGAGCAGTTTAAAAAGATGCAAGGGATAGCCTGGTAATTCTGTGTACAAGCAGAAAACAAGCAAAAACACGTGATCACCAAATACAGTATACTAGGACATGCAATTTTAAAAAAGCATTTATACATGTATATAATATAGAAATGCCTCAGACATGTGTTCTTATTTCTGCTATGTCCATTAGACTGATGTGTTTGTCTTTACTGATAGGGATCTTTCAATATCTTAGAGTATTATCAGTCTGACCTGAGCGGTTGGAATTTGGCCTGGAGCTAACTATGTATTTTAAATGTTTCTTGTGGCTGTAGTCCAGGTACCACAATGCAGTGTTTGGGCCCAAATATAGAATGGATAAAATGCAGAGTGTATGATATTCAGTGTAATGCCATTCCTAAGTTAGAAAATTATTGGGCAAACTTCAGACATGCAAGTAGGAACAATTAGTGACATGAAGCTAAATTGATATTGCAATATTCTTCTGTTCCATAGACTGTATAAGCCAAATGAAGCTCACAATGCCAGCGGTTATAGGAGCGAATTTGGTGCAAAGTTACATATTAGGAATAGGAATTAATTTATGGACAAAACAGCTAAATAAAAACACCAGTGTCATGTAGAGCTGGTTAGTCCAAAAAAGTTAAGACCAAAATTAAGAGAATGAGAGCAGAAGTTACAGAGAGAGGGGCAATTTTTTTCAGTACAAAGTGAACTGAAGCTGGCGTCCATGGAGCTGGGAGGTGGTTAGGAAACAATGATGGATCACAGTTTGTTTAAAGGTTGGCGTTTCAAATCTTGACATAAACATAATTGAGCGGTCAGATCCTTTGACCCACAGGTTGGTGGTGCGACTCCACCTCCCACAGATCAATACTATTGTTGTGTCCTTGTCTTTTTGCTCTGCTGTGAATGTGTGTGTCTGAGTCTGAATGTCTGAATGAGAGTTCTTTGATGTAAAATGCTTTGAGCGCCTTGAAGGTGGAAGAGTTATATACAAATGTGACCATTTACCATTTGTTGTGTTTGCAGATGTTTGTACTCCAGTCCAAGACAAATTTCCCTCCGGGATTGTGATGTTACATGTTACATCTGCACTAAATTAAGAGTACTGATCTAACTTTTCATTGCAATGTGTTTTCATGAACAAAAATAGACTCTAATGTTTAAAAATAAATCTCTATTGGTAACGTTGTGTATTATGCTGAATAGAGCAGTAATGATCCATATCCAATGATTCTTTAAACAGCATGATCATTGCAAAGACACAAAATAAACTTGTGAAAATATAGATTTATTTCTGCGTCGATAAATCCACAATTTCCTTTTTTTCTGATCACCAAACTGAAACCAGTCTTGCCGTAATTACAAGCATATGTGCAGCAATTCCATTTTCACAGAAACAATGGGCTAAATTACAATAAATATAAATGCTGTCACTGAGGGATTCTCTGTTAAACTGACGCAGACTTTCCATCTCCCATCTGTAAATGAAAAACACTGGTGGGAGGACCAACTTTCCATGTTTCCAGTAAATTATGCAGATTAGCAAACTTCATTTTAATGCGCGTCTGCTACAAACATATGTCCATGGCCCTGTACTGTACAAATATAAAAAGTGAGAAATGATTTGGAAATGACAACGATGATAATTTACTCCCAAAACTGAGAATCATGATCATTTAAGCAGATGCAATTGCAAATACAGAATATGTTCACTTTTTCAATCAAAACACTGAGTATCAAATATTATTGTGGTTTTTGCCATAAAATTTTAAGTTGTACTGTGTAACTTGTGCCGAGAATGTTCCACTGTCTGGACATAAACTTAAGAATTTCCATGGGGACAAACAGGTTGCTGATCCTCTCCAGAAAAAGTGCACCTTTAGCCACTTTAGTTGAACTGAATCCTGAAACAATTTTAAGTTCAGATTTAAATAACTAAAAATGGTAGTTCCACGACAATGCTCACGAGTTTTTGTATTATAATCTAGAACGAGATCTGGTTTAATCCGGGTTACGGTTTTTGGGATGTTATTTTTTTAGACCAGTTTTAGATTTAACTGACATAAAGGTTTTTGTTCATTTTGCCAAATTTATTCAGAAGACACTTGAAAATTTAAAGCAAGAAATTTGAAAATGAAGTACAAAATATTTCAACTGATGATTGTAAAGAAACCTGAGAAAATCACGTACAGTTACATTTTGATTGCAAACCACAACATAAATATGATTGAAATCGTTTTGTATTAAATCTGTATAAACTCTACATAAATATTTACTTTGAATTGAACTACAGAAACAGAAGTCCTTATAGTATCCAAACTGTTGATGTAAAACAGCGTCAGAGTTTGAATGGGAAATGTGGCAGTGCTGTTTGTTGTAATGTAGTCCTGGTTCAGCTCCTGGTGCTGTACAGGTCTGCGTCCTCTGGGTTTGACTGTCCAAAGTCCATAAGAGCAGGATCTGCTTTGAAGGCATCGCCCCCTGGAGGGAAGAAAAGCAAACGCAACAACAGTTACAGATACAAAAGGAATGAGCTGCTGCAATGATACGGTACACAATGTTCTGTACTCTTGTCATGACATATGTTCAAACTCAATTTAGACACCGAGGATATTTTTATACAATGTAATTTTCTGAATAAAATAGCTGTTTCGTTAATACGATGTATTATCATAATCCTAATCCATAACCCTAACCCTAACCCTTATTTTATAGAGTACATCAAATACATTCAGAAACACTTCAGGAAATATCAAAATGTGTCTCATATATGTAATTTTTGTCAGTTTTAGCTAAAATCAGTTTTCAGATTTGAGACTAATTTTGGTATTGATTAGTATCTCAATGTTACTATTTATAGGAGTTTTGGGCAGGTAAATTATGATAAATTATTGAATTTCCTTTAGGGATCAAAAAGTATTTATCTATCTAAATGGATATTGACAATAGTATCCTTGGACTTTCATTTTGGAAATTACGTTTGCATATAAATAAGGAATGAATATGTGAGTGTAGTTTATGACATATTGTAGAGGCTGTACAATTTCTTTGATTGAATACATCCTTTAAAAAAACAATATAACTTATACACATAATCACATATTAATAATTACAATGATGAGTTATCAGTAGGTACCTTTGCTAATCTCAGGTGCCGGTTCCTCAGTAGCTGTAGGCGTTGGGGCTGTGGTTTCGTCTGTTGGTGTTTCTTCAGATGGAGCAGGTTCTGAGGAGGCTGTAGGTTCAACCAACTCTTTTTCAACTAACTGTGGTTCAACTACTGTCTCTGCGGATACAAATACAGATGTTGCTATAGTGATGGCTGATATAATTATAAGTAATTGTTTGCATTCTATTAAAATGACTGTGGATTTGCATTATATTTATGGGATAGGTAGAATAGCTTTTACTATCCTTAAGAATGTATAAATTTGTCATTAAATTCTTAATATATGCAGTGTCTGAAAGTAATATTTGAAAGCAAAAAACACTGTTTTCTAAAAGATAGTTGTTTCTGCTATAGTACAAATGAATCATGTGTTTATTCATTATGAGAGGATTTTCTTTTGTAATTTGATTCAAGAGGCCTTTTTATTTTGGCTGTGTCTGGATATCCAGTCAAGATGGCATTCTGTTAAGTATTATACTATTAACTATTAACTATACTATTAACTATAACTGTTATAACTATTTGTCCCCTTAGAAGTATAGGGCTCTATATGTGTTTGCGGTGTTTATGAAATACTTAAATATTTAGGTTTTGAGTGGTACAGGGAATTGGATTTTTGCTCATCTAAACCTAAAAAATGCAACAAATGCTACAAAATGTGAACAGAAGGCATTCAGGAACTAGAATTCCCCTCAAGATGGGATCAATAACGTATACCTTAATATTATATGAATAACTCTGAATAACATTTAGACAAAAAAATTCAGATAGAACCCTGTAATCCAAAAGGGACAATTTATTGAGTATCCTTATATGCTAGCATTCTACACTTGGCCTGAGGATTACAGTTGAAAATGAGCTGTATAGTTTAAACCTGCACATTTACATAAATGTTTATTAATGAGGATTGTTCTCATTCAAATAAACTAATACATAAATAATTACCTTTGGCACTTTCAGCAGGAGGGGCTTCAGAGGGGGGAGGGGCTTCTGCAGCTGGAGGCTCAGGAGCCAATTCCTCTACTGGCTCAGATGATTCTGGGAATAAAAAAAAAAAGAGAGAAATAAAAAAGTAATAATAATGCAGAGTCATAAGAATGCAAACTGCTCTTGTATAAAATGTTAGCTCTACTTGTCTCCAAGTACAAGCAACCACTAAGTAAGTTTGTATAATTATTTACCACTAAAAATATAAAGGGTTAAAGGGCTTGCGCTTGATTTTGAACCATTAGTGAAGAAAATGATTTAGGATGAACTGTAATTGCTACTTTGTGTGATAGAAGAGACTCTTTAAATGCAGTACCTTTGGGGGTTTCTGCAGGAAGGTCTTCAGGAGGTGGTGATGTGACTGGGGTCTCTACAACAACAACTACTATCTCTGGCTCTGGTTCAGCTGATGCTACTACAAGGGAATAAAAGAAACACACAAAACATGAATAATACAAGATTAAAAGATAGATTTACTATGTGTTTAAAAGGTGCACTGTGTAACTTCCGCCATCTGATTGTCTCCATGGAGATGTTGTTGCATTGTCTAGAATGTCGAGTATGCCATTCAAAGTACCCATCTTTGAATGAGTATTATTACACAATAGCAAGTTTTTACTGACTCTCATTCTTACTGCGAGTGGGCTCGCCTCTCCTCACCTGCTGTCTCCGGAGTATAATGTATAATGCCAAACTGTGGAACATTCCAAGCAGCATTTGTGAATTTTGTGTACTGACAACGGAAATAAATTGTATTCTGATTTTGATTGATTTTGTGTCTAGTGGAAAACCCAGCACCAAAGCACACTGAGCAGTATTTTGGAGCATTATACTATTGTTCTACCATTACCTGTTTCCTGGGGTGTATCAGTCAAAGGGGCAGGGACTGGAGCTTCTTCTGTAATAGTTAAAACTGGCTCCACTGTTGCCTCTGGTTCAGGAGATTCAACAACTAATTTGAAAATAAAGACACAACCAGATAAAAATGTGTAAAGTTAAAAATGTGTGTTGGTTAAGAGCACATTTTGTACATAGTTATGTAATAAACTAGGAGTAAATACACATGAAAAAACAGTGCCATCTTGAGGACAAAGCTCATAACTACACTGCCACATGCTAACCATTGAATATAGTAACATTTATAGCAAACTGACTAATTTATTCATTTATTTTCCTATATTTACCAATCTATAATTGCAATCTAGAAAATATCCCCCATAGATTCTTCTAATAGAATATTTTTAGGTATGACTTTTGCAAATTACAAATAAGCCTTCGGTGTCTGTAGTTTGAACACAGATTATTGTTAAATAATAAAACTTGGTTAAAACGAATTAAGATAACAAAATAAATAACAATAGATTAATCTGAATAGTGTTACTTCTATACTATAAAGCATGAGTGACTTTACTGAACAGAAATCAGGATAAATCCTTGTTGGTGTAATCCAGCCTGTACCTTTTGGCTCCTCTGCAGGTGGAGGGGTGGGGGGTGTGGTCTCCTCTGCTGAAACTGTCTGGGGCTCTTCTGGAAGAGGCTCTGAGGAGATTACAGGTTCAACCACCACTACTGGCTCTGGTTCTGATACTGTCTCTGTGAATGCAAGACAAAATAATGAAGCACCATCATCATAACATGGCATCAGAGAGATTCAATATGACAAAATACAAACAACTATCTATTTTTTACTGCTACTTTTAAATGTTACCTTAATCTTTAAGGGGAGATTGGGTATCATGCACCTTCCATTAACAACTAGCCTGTGAACAGCTCTACTCCCAGATTCATCTTTGATGGAATTGTTTTTAAAAAAGATGCAGACATTTTATGATTTTATCCAAAGAGCAGCTTTTAAATATTATGGCAAAGTTTAACTCTACTACATGAAAAACTGACTTCAGTTTCTTTAATGAAGGCAATTACAATAAAGATTTTAGTAGCATAATTCAATTTCAATATCAATAATATAAATATTTATGTTACCTTTGGGCTGCTCTGTTGATGGAGCCGGTGATTCCAAGATGGTGGCAGTGTCCTCAGCTGGAGTGGACTTGACCACCTCTGGTTCTACACTCACTGTGGGTTCAGACGGGGCGGGGTCAGAGGGGGCAGGGTCAGAGGGGGCAGGGTCTGAGGGGGCAAGATCAGAGGGGGCAGAGTCAGAGGGGGCAGGGTCAGAGGGGGCTCCTTCTGGTTCAGGGCTGGACTCTGGTGGCTTTTCGCTCTCAACAGCAGCAGGTAAATCTTCGGGAGGAGGTAGTGTCTCTGGCTCTGCTGCAACTGAATTTACAACATCTACAACAAAACAACAGCAGATCTTTGAATGGTCCACCAGAAAACATTACATGGTGCACCTTTAAATGTCAAAATACCTTTCTAAATTTGAAAACAACTGGTTAAAACCTCTTTCCTGTCCCATATTTTTTCCTAGCATAAATATGATTTAGTTGTAACTTAGGCTTTGTTTATATTGACAATGAAATATGGTTTACAACTGTAATACAACAATTGAAACACGAAAATAAGCCTTGGTTGTAAAATTCAACATAGTTCACACCTATTTTTAGAATGTATTTCATAGTTATACCTGTGGTTGGTTCTGTAGATGAATGGTCTGCTGTTGTAGACTCCACAGTAGGAGCTGGTTCTTCTGGAGCAGATTCAGATGTTTGTTCTGTCTCTGGGACTGGAGAACTCTGGATTGGCGCTTCTGTGGATGGGACGGACTCTTCAACTACAGCAGCAGGCTCTGGGGTCGGCACTTTCTCTTCCTAAAAAATAAACAACAGAAAACACTCCAAATATAAGACAGCAGATGCATTTGTTTGAAAAGCAATAGACATAGTTACAAGGATACTGAAAAACAACCATCTTACTCTAAATGTAGGTGATCGTGTGACAATGTGGTTATGTAACTAGATTGTCTTTTCACATTCAGACACTTTACACCACTAAAACCATGCCTGGAGTTGTGTTTTGTTCATTCACACATGTTTATCACACAGACCCTGAATATTTAGACAACTTCTCTCAAACTGTATGCTCCATACACCTTCACTGGAATCATTTGGATAAGTTCAGCCCTGGAATTGTCCATCACTACTGAACAAAAGGTCAATTGTGCATAATACAGCATATGACAATGCTGATGTCTGAATTGTACAGTACATTGGTCTATACACAGAGCAGGCTTTGGCAATGTTCTTTCAAAGTTAAAGGTCCAAGTTAATTTAATTTTTCTTCCTGCCTACGCAAAGTTTATTGTTTTGTCTGGAATGTTCCACTGTATGGCATTAAACCTATCAATCTTGCATTTCATCCAATCACAGGTCTTATTGCTCAAAAATACCTACCATTCATTCATACTGTGACCTAGTTTGCCTCTCCACAGACCTGACCTGTAACTACTGTCTAGTATGGTGCCATTACTTGCTTGTCACCATGGAGAAGTTTAATGTTATTCCAGCCTAAAATAATAAAATCTCCAAGGGCGACAATCAAGTTTGTATTTTTTTTTTTTAGAATAACGATATGTGCAAACTTCCTTCAGTTAACATTTAAAGCACTCTCAAAGTGAACGCTGACATTAACAGAAAACTGGAAAATTAATATCCTGTTTTTGACATTTTTTGAGGTCATCCGTGGTTAGAGAAGCTACTGGAAACAGGCGGATGAGTCACGGGCCCGTTATCAAAATTTTCTTCCAACCATTTCTATTATCAAAAACACAAAAACATGAAAAGCTGTTCTTCAAAACCAGTAAATGCAAAAGTATGGAAATGTTATAGTGGGAGGTTTGTGCATGAAAGGTGTTAAACTGTCGTACTGATATTAGTCAAACATTATGACACTGCGGTGACTCAACATGCTGTCTCACCGGTGACGAAGGAGCCTCAGGAGCTGGTGGAGGTTTAGGTGGAGATGAAAGCAGTGAGGACACAGTAGCACCGCTCCACTGCCCTGCTGCGTAAATCTTTTTCCCTGTGATCTTTCAAGAGGAATAAAATCAGTCAAAACAAAAATAAGGCATCATGATGACTAAGCGAGTAAAATTCAAAGACAAGATATAGATTGGAAATACACAAGTTATTTCTTCTAGTTCAGGGAAATGCACTTTAAATTTCTATATGCATTTAACTGGATGAGAATGGGATGCACAATATATTGCAAAAGTATCGATATCGCGATATTGACTAACACAGTAATTGAAATGGCAACATATTCGACCACCTGAAAAATGCACTGTTGCTAAAAAGTATATGTTTTTATTAATAATTTTCCTTTCTTAGTCAAAAATTTGCCTGGATTTCGTGCTGGTTTGGCCTGTTAAGTTTTTGACAGTTATGTTTTCTTTTTAATTATAACTGAAGTAGTAGCAGTATCGACATCACACTGCATAACAGCCATATCACAAAATGTTCCAATTTTTGCTGCAGCCCTATTGAAAACTGTAACGTGATGCTGCATTTTCTCCATAGGTGCTGTACGGGGTAAGAACCAAGTGGAAGCAAATACCAGTGCAACATTAGAGTATGAGAGGGGACAATATGTGTGGAGCTAATGAGATATAGGTCTTTATTATAGTGATACATACCTTTACAACAGTTACGGCTTGGGCAGGATAACACACTGAAGCTCCAGCAGTCATCAAACTCATGGGAACAGCAACCCTTTGGAGGCGTGACCCTGGGAGAGCAACAGAGGGAATAAGTTAAATTAACTCTTATGAGCTTTAAGTCATGTTACAATGTTGTTACTTGGAGCATACCTGGAGTTGTGTTTTGTTTAATTCACACATGTTTGAGTAATGCTTTATTATTAGTCTGTCTAAATCTCCAAGGTTCAAAATGCTCTGTTCCACCTTGTGATGTCATGAAGTTGTAGCTAAAATCTTCCAAATGATTTTAATGAAGGTGTGGAGTTTCAAAACACAGTGGAGCACTTCCTGTATTACATGACATCACAAGGTGGATGTTTTCGATTTGAGAGAAGATCTCTCTAATGAGAACCTAAATTGTTTTTTATAATGTGGACAGTATAAATTAGATCGGAATATTGTCCCTTTAATTGAAGATTAAATTACCTTTACGGGCCAGAAACATGCCCAGCAGACCAGCCATGGTGATGGTGCCAAATCTGGGCACAAACTCTGGAGGAGGATCTTTTAGGTAATAATACACATCTATCAAAACAGGACAGAAATCAGTTACTGGAAAAGAAGCAACATTCCCCAGAATATTAAAATTCTAGAACTCAAGTTCACTTTTTCACAGTGTGAATAGAAAACACAATCTTTATAGAATTTTAGCTAATTATCCCTATAAAAGTCAAATTGCAAATGACAACTACATAACTTTGTAATTTCTTAATTGCTTATGACAGCAAATGTAAATATATTGAAATTAAATATATTAACTTTTATTTTACTGTATGATTTATATTTGTTTTGACAGGTACATTTTGAAGATTATTTAAATTGCCTAGGATCTGCTGACTCACCTTGTCCAGCATGGTAACAATTTATAGTTCCCCTTTTTACAGAAAGGTAAGCCCCCTGCAGGAAAAATAAATAATTAATTAAAGGTCCTTTATTATGCAAAACTGACTCTTGTGAGCTTTTAACCATGTTAGAATGCTGTTACCTCAATTAAACCATCTCCGAGTTGTTTTTTGTTTCATTCACACATGTCTAACTTTTTATTATCTGTCTGTCTACATCTCCAAAGCTTAAAATGCTCAGTTCCACTATGAAATGTTAGTTAACCACTTGCCTTTTGTTTAGTAGAGTTTGGCAATACCTGGTCTAAATGTGTTCTATTTGAGAGAAGAACTCAGCCTAAATATGCAGAGTTTAAGTATAAATAATATGTGAATGAAACAAAACACAACTCTAGATATGTTTGTACTGAGTAAAAAACATTGTAACATAGATCAGAAAATAACGTCATATGGGCCCTTTAATGACATGTATAACAAGACTCATTCAAAAACAGCTTTATTTTTGTGTATGTTTTTCACAGGTTCGGATGTGTTGTAATCTTCTGGCCACATGTTCACACCTGCCCTCATTCGGCTGCAGCTTCTGTTTCCTGTTTGGCCCCTGAACTTTTGATAAATCGCACATTGTCGTATGTAGGATTGTGAACTGAAACCGCAAACAAAAAAAAAACAAAAAAAAAAGAAGACAGATTTTAATCGGGCCATATAGATGCTACAGTACACTGGAAATATGGGGTTGAGCCACTTCCGAGAGTTCTTGGTAAGGTTGTGTGCAACGCAAACATCCCCTTTTAATGCATATGTGTCTGTCTAATGAACTTATGAACTTAACTGTTAGACCAGATTTTGGAGTAACACCTCAATGTTAATGCAATAAACAAAAATATAAAGATATTAAAGAAAACCTACTGTGCTCTTCTATCTATATATCTATATATATATGTATATATACACATATATCTATATCTATCTATCTATCTATCTATCTATCTATCTATATATATATATATAGATAGATAGATAGATAGATAATCTATAACATCCATGGATCATTATTTTATAATGTGGACATTCTAAGTTGCGATATTCATATAAAATAATTTAATAAAAGATGCTGCAATAGAAAATTGCGATGCCCTGTAAATGTCATTACAACAAAGAGTTAGTGCCTCTGATAGTTGCACGTCATGCTAGCAAGCAGCTGACTTTTTTTTTTTCATTTGTACCAAAATGACTACACAGCACTGTGAAATCCTACACGTATCACTGATTAAGAAAATAAAACTGGAGAACAAAGTAAGTAGAAAGTAGTGGGTGTAGTGGGTGTAAAGCTCTGAAACGTCAAGTTTGTATAATATGTCTGCTTTAAGTTATAATAAGATAACACATTGTATTTATATAGTACTTTGAAGACAACAACAGTGCTTTACAGCACATTTTTCATTAATTCTACACTCAGACATGGTAGACTGGAAGTGAGACTGCCAATCTGCCCCCTCTAACCACCACCAACACACACATAACACCAGGCAATGTGGTATATGCTGCGTCCACTGCTCTAACCATTATGTGATCACTAAAAATCTACCAATTCAATTCATGTTTTCTTTGATAAATTGCCATGTCCATTGGGTATTACTTGTAAACAGAACAGAGTAAATAACTGTAGACTGTAGGGAATACCTTTATAGACTGGACCACAGGCACTATGGTGTGTCTAGCTGCTGCTATCCCACTTTCAATGACCCCCGGCTCCTCTGAAACCTCCACTGTCTGAGGCGAAGGCTGTAGAGGTTTGTAGATATTCAACTGCAAGGGAAAGGGAATTTAATATTTACAAAACTTTTAACAGGAACTTGTATTGGTACTGACACAAGATCTTGTGCCACAAGATCTCACGAGACAAAATTTATTGTACACATATGAGATTTTTATCTATGTGTTTACATTTGGATTGGGGTTAAGTGTGAGTTTTTTTGAGAAGTTGTAGTTCTCAAAAGCAGTGCTAGAATGACAACAAAAATATATATATTTTTGTTATGTTTTGTCTTGTCTTCGTGGACCCAATCTCATGTCTCATTTTGTAGAAATTGCACTATAGTCTTTAGTGTTTATCTTACTCTTTCTCTAGTGACGAGCCCCTCCTCAGGTGTTTCCCTGTATATTCTGATGGAGGCAGCCCCAAGCACTGCCGGGACGGCCACCAGCACCACCTGAGACAAAACACAAAAATACATTTGACATTATGGGACAGCTGAGCTTGTTTGTAGTTTACTGCATCTAGTTTTGTTTATGTTATATTACCATTCTAATCATCAGTAGCCATGAAACAAATTCAGGTGTAAGGATTCCAGCTTGATTTTATTATGACAATTCAAATTTAAATATGCTAGCTAATGCTAGTCTATATTTTGAAGGGGTAAAGGTCCTCATAAAATCATTAACCTTATCCACAAGGAATCATTTGTCTTAAACATTTGCCATACATACAGTATCTTGCTGGCTATTTATAACAACTTCAGTCTAGACCAGACCAAAAGGGCACACAACTTTCCTTATAATTTAACTTAATGTATAACACACAGCAGGCTACCATCTCAAAAATAATTACAGCAACCTATACCTCAAGATAAAAACAGTTTAATACAATTTAAGCTAAAACTTTTCTTGGACCAACAAAGACTAGTGTGTGAGAATACCTAACCAAGAGAAGTAGTAGCAGTATTACATATAATTCTGAAGACTGCATTGGGATTAGTGGCATTACTCTCCATCATAACTGATTTATATTAACACAGTTCAATAAAGCAGGAGGGAAACTGCGTTATAAAACTTGTTTACACTGGACTGGCGCCACCATAGTTCTCCTGGCGCTACAGATTAATAAAATGATTTAACGCAGGGCAGGAAATACGTGCAGAGTGCCACTTGTTTGCACACTGTAAATGAGTGAAAGTGGTCAGGTATGGAGCCAGCCTGGACTGGAGAGTACAGCTTGTACTGTACACACACCGCACAGCCAATGAGCTGCAGTTTTAACGCTTATATCATCACTATCGGATCACGTTTGCGTCAGGGGCTCTAGGGTAAGTGGAGCTAAATTTGCATATACACTCTCATTGAGAATATGTTGTAAATTTGAGGAAAAATGTGCAGAAATCGATAAAGTCATGCATTCACCTTGGCCGCCATGACAGTGCTCCGTCTTCTTCCTCACACGTCACTGCGTCACTGAGCCAGTCCTCTGTCCTACAGTGCCCCCCGCTGGACAAAAGAGGAGCCTGCACCAGTGGATGTGGGTAGATGATGTCATTGTACAGAGTGAGGTAATGCGCCAGGCTTTTCAAAAGAACATTAACCTTTTATAGTATCTTATCAGAATTATAAATCATTAGAGAAAAAAACATTAAGCATATGGGCACCCTAGTTTCACAGATGTTCCAAATTCTTGGAACACTACAGAATATCTAATGGGCCAACTGAAACTTCAGGATGGCATTTTTATCTGTTTAATGTACTGACAAAATTACAAAAAAAACATTGGCTTGTTTTCCTGGTTATCTCCTGGATTAGGCCCAGATCCACACGCGGGCTTTTGTCAAGTCTGGGAGCTATATGGCGTTGTTTTCTTTCACATCAAGTACCATCTGAGAAAATATTTGGCTTTTCAAGTGAATCTAAACCAAGACTATATCAGGTCTAATTTAGGAATAAACATGGGCTAAAATCAGTCTAAACCATGGATTAGGTAATTTTAAATATTAACCCAATGAATAAATAATAATTGTCTCAAAATTAAACAAATATTCAAACTGCAGATTACTGTGTGTACCACATTTTGAGAAACACTGAGAATATTGATTGCTCTATTCACCATTTCCTTGCTTAGAGGTCTTTCATAAAACTCAAAGATGTTCTCCAAAGATGTTTAGAAAAAGCTGCTGTGACCCACAAGGCATAGTGAATAAAAGGAGGAATTAAACCATATCTCGTAGTGCAGAGGATTCAGTTTATTGAAGTCAAAGTTTAACAACTTAGGTTTACAATCTGTATTTTTTGTAATATATATATTCATATATATGAAACCAAAAAAGGCTACTTTAGGAAGAATAAATGTCATTTTCTTTCTTTTTTCAATATCATCTTTAGTCAGTTGAATGTACAGAATAACAGTAAGCTAATATCATCCTTGAAAAAGAGCAATATGTTCCTTTTTTAATGTCGCAGTGCAACTTACATCTTCACACCTGTGCAGTGTACCATGAGGTGTTCACCCTGAAAAACACACAGTGGAGCCTTTGGGCCTGGGTCAGACTGCACGCTGTCGTCCGGGAGGGTTTACACAGTCTGTGCCAAAACAAAACACACGCTCCGAATCAAAACACGGGACACAAGAGACACATGAGACAGAGGTCAAACGCTCCTACAGCCAGAGGTGTAGAAACCGATCAGGTTTTCAATGGGAGGCACAGGGAAAGTGCTTGCATCGTTTAGGTTTCTCTCAAATGAACTGTTCAAAACTACATCCGGGTGCGCTTGAGTTCAACAGTGATATGATGAAAAAACTAGAGACTACTTTTACAAAAGACAGGTAAGTATGAAGAAGAAACAGACAGTGCTACACATGTCTCTGGTCTTAGACACTAGGGGGCACCATTGAGTCCTTGGCCTGGCAGCACAGATGAAGCCGGTCATCTGAGTTTCACAGACATAGCAGACCATTGAGTGGAAGGCTCCATTGCTTCCCAGTATCACAACGTTTAATGCAACTTTCTCCTTATTTGTGACAATATCTTAAACTTATTCATGGACTTCAGAATGAGGAGTCAGGACTATCGCCATGACAATTAACAATTCAAAACTAAATATTATATTTTTAGAATTTGTCCTCAAAATGGCACCATATAACAGAAAACTGAAACCCATGAATTCACATTTCACTTAGTCAAGTCACTGTCAGGTCTAATTTAAGAACATTATTTTCATGTTCAGTCTTGTTCTGCTTTGGTCCAAATTATCTATTCAATTTGCATTTTACTCTTTGTTAATACTAGTTTTATTCTTAAATTTAACCTGGGTCAAGATTATACCTGATTACAGATTACCTTTATGTACATTACAGTGTTTTAATTGTTTTCATTTTGTGTGTAAAACTGAAGAATCAAACCTGGCACCTTCTTTGAGGTTTGCATTTCCCTATTTAACTGCAAAGATACTGAGAAGCAATTGTCCTCCCTAAGATAATGTACAGTGTGTGTCTATAAACACCATATAAAAAAGAAATCATGTTAAAAACCAAAAAGTCATTCCTAAAGTTTGCATTTTTCATGCGCTACACAACTTTTCTTGCAAACGTGATTAGGAAGATTAAGGGGGGAAAGCAATACAAGTGATCCACAATATTTTTACCCTGTCCAGTCAAATTCTGCTGTTTCTCATGCAACACATAACCAGGAGTTTTCAGGATATATTTTTTCAAAGTCTTTCCTTGATGTAAACCAATAGAAACTGTAAAATGTTTGGTGGTTTGGTATCTCCTAGGTTGATTTAAACTGCTTACACCCTGCATTGGAGTGATAAGGGGGGCACTGCAAAAATCTTGGCATAGAATACATACTTTACATTATATCTATCACACAAAACGTAAATAGATTTTGATATATTCTTCTATGTTTAAATATATTTGTAGACTGTACACAAATCTTTAGAAAATGAGATGGCAAATGCGTTTACCTGATATTTTTGAAATGGTCAGAGATGGGACATTTGGATAGATAGACCCTGTGATGCAGCCAATGAGACAGACACATATAGAAAGTGCATTCATTGTGAGTGACTCCATTTGGATCAATAACAAAACTCTCCCTTGCAGCACTTGCATTCACAGGCTAAAGAGATAGTTCTGTTTCATGAATGGGGCAATGAGGTTTTCAACTGGTAATATGTTAATAGCCAACAGTGGATAGTCGTCAGTGCAGACCCAGGACGTGGACACAAAATCTGTCTTGTATATATTTTAAATTGACAGGAAACTCATTAATTAGCATTGGCAATTTAGCAATCGCCCACCAACTAGAGCTATTGTTAAATGATAAATGGGCACATTTTTATATGGTGCTTTTAGACCTTCAAGGCACTCAAAGCGCTTTACTTCAAGGTCACTCACGCATTCACACACACACTCATACACCAGTGTACGTAACTGCACACACTAGGGCTAAGTGTCTTGCTCAGTGACACAACAACATCATTCATCTGTGGGAGCTGGAATCACACCGCCAACATGTGGGTCAGTGGATCTGCCTGCCCAACCAAAGATGTTTATGTCGAGAGTGGGATTCGAATGTGGACTGAGCTACTGTCGCTCACTCTGTTGTTGTGTCCTAAGGCAAGACACTTTGCCTGTGTATGAATGAAGTGTGTGAGTGATTGTAGGGGCCAATGGAACAGATAGGCAGTCTCACTTCAGTCAGCCTACCCCGGAGCAACTGCGGCTACAATACCACTGCCACTTCCCGGGTTCTTTGATTTGTCTTTTCTCAGATTATCTTTTCATTTTTAAACCAATATTTTTACAATTATCTATCTGACAATCTTTTTTTTGGCACATTTTCTGAACTACCTCCCACCACTAAACATGTTAGTTAGTTGTTGCTTGATAAACCATTATATTACAATTGTTGAATGGATGATTTGTTGCTGCCAAAATGATCAATTATCAATAAAGTATCTATCAATCTGTTTATCTATTTAATGATTGTGACTATGGTAGTGTGGACCAGGTGACACAAAACAGGAACACTCCCAGGTTGGGATAGTTAGTATATAAATAAAACTGTGAAAAATGTGCGTAACATTGTCTATTTTCAGCTCACTTCTGGGTTAGTATATAATCAGTGTGACTTCTTTTGGTTCATTTTTTGCCCGGTTTTCTGTATTTTAGCTAAACAATTTACAATATATGCCAGTTTTTTATTGTTGGCAGGTATAAAATTGGTCAAAAATAGAGACACATGGGACATTTCTTGTATAAAAGTTGGTTAAATCACTGGTTTTGGATGAATCTGTTGGAATAGGCGACACAGGGCTCCAAATTGGGACTACTGTATGGCTCTATTTGAGGTGCACTGACAGCAATCCTTTGTTGATGTCTATCCAGGTAAAAACACTGACTAAACCATATTGAATCCACTCATACAATGTGAACTATCCCTTTGGTAAAAAATTAATATGATTTGCACACGCACACGTCAACAACACACACTCTCTCCCCTCCGCTACCTCTAGAAGCAGATCACAGTGGTAGTGGAAAAAACGCAAACATTTGTACATCAGTATACACATATACAGAGAGAAGAGGTCCGGATCTAAGCTTAAAGTGTAGGAAAATATAAGAGGAAGGAGAAGACAGAAAATGCAAAGTGAATAGTAGTCATTGCATTCATTCCTTCAGTTCACAGTTTGAGATTTTTGCACCAGTGTAGCATGAGAGCTAGTCGGTGCTTGTGGCGTTTAGCTACCTTTCTCACTCTTACAAAGTTACAATCTCAGCACAGTCCTGTTCAGGCTTTATAATAACAGTGAGGTCCCTAATTTAACACAAGATGCAATGAATAAAACAAAATACTGGATCATAGATAGAAAGAAAGGAGGAGCGGGGGAGGACTGTTGGCTCTGGGTGCAAGTTCATCAGTACAAAAAGTACAGTGCTGTGGTGAAAAGGTATCTCCTCTGTATTGCTGCTACATAGCTCCCCCTACCTCCTGAAAACAAAATTGCAAAACATAAAACCATACAAATAAATAATGAAAAATGTGTTTAGAAAAGTCTATTTTTTTCGTTTGCCTGACAAGCGAGGAGTGGCGTTTATGCTGAGATACATAGACAAAGGAAGAGTAATGCTTTTTGTTCAGGCATGCAATAGGCACCCTGTGGGGTCCTTGTTTGTTGGGATTATCAAAAGTTGAACAGGTCTCTCTAGCGCCCCCTCGCTGTATTTACACATGTTACAGGAAAGAGGAGTGTCTGTGAGGGTCATGCTCAGGTTCGGATGGGACCAGGGCTTTGATTGACAGCTCTGTGGGAAAGCATAAGTGGAACCATTCGAGATTTCTTATATATTTTTGAAGTTCGTCAAAGTGCCAAGCCCTTTAAAATACTTTTTTGTACTTAGTTTGTTTTAGATCACAAGTAATTCATTTTACTTTGATACGTTTTCAATTACTTTAAATTCAACATAATTTTCTGTATACAGTAGCACACAGTAGCCCATAGACGTTGAAATCCAATTTGGGCCTAACTGAAAATATGACCTCTAACCCATAGGTTGTTGGTTAAATCCCCACACACGCACAAAAAAGTGATTGTATTTCTGTTAGAGGAGTTAGTATATGAAACAATATCTGAGTGATGATTTTAAAAATGTCTAACACTGTAGAAGCCTTTAAAAAAGAGTATAAAGAGATCTGTTTTGAAATATATAGATATTTTGTCTCTTATATATATGCAGTAAGTTGTAAGTGAAATTGTAAATGCAAACTTGCTGTTCATATGATGCCTTTGTTTCTTGGAATTCTGTCATTGTTTAAAAGGGATGGGCATTATAAGTACTTTTTACTTCATCATAAATCCTTTCAGTCATGATCCATGGGGTTGTAGTCTATGATTTGTTTTGTTTTGTAGTACTGTAAAAATGGCCGAATAAAAAACTACTACTACAGCTGAAATTGAATGAATTGTGTATTGGTTGGGGGACTGTGTAAGTCTGAATAAATAATGTACCAACTTTTACTTTGTACAATTTTAAGATAATTTAGACCGGTGGTTCTCAAATTTTTCACAATAAGTACCACCTACGAAAATGGTTAGCTTATAATACCACCAGATCTAAAGCCAGGTCGGTATCAGGACTATACAGGGTCTAAACTTGGGCTAAACCAGGTCTGAAATAGGCCAAAACAAGCTTGAGGACAGTACCACAGTTTGAGAATCACTGAACTAGAATGCAAAGGCAAAAGTGAGTAAATCAATACTAATATCATTGTAATATTTTTTTCTCAGCATTATAAATTGTAATTTCATAAATTTGTTGATGACCCAATATATTTAACTCATAAATATAAGAAATCCAGACGGGGTCCTGTACTTTCCCCCACAGAGCTGCCTCATTTATAATCATGATGGATCAGTCTGGTCACCCCTGGTTACACGTGCGTCTCAATGAAGGAGTGTGTGTGGGTCATGAGTGGAGCCCCCAGTGGCGAGAGGTCGTCCTGTCCATTGGATCCGGGGCTGAGTTGACAGATGTCTGAGAAGAGGTCGCTGTGCCACTGTTTCCACTCTCTGAAGGTTTGTGAGGACAGTCCAGGCTCCTCCAGCAGAGCACAGATTACAGCCAGCTCCGACTCTTTGGCCTGAATATAAACACAAGAGGGAGTAAGAGGAGGAATTAACTCACTGTATTACAAGAATAGGCTTTAAAATAGACTCTCGTGAGCTTTAAGCCATGTTAGAATGTTGTTATCTCTTCAAAAACATACCCGGAGTTGTGTTTTCTTTCCTTCACATAGGTTTGAGAAATCCAAAAATTTGTTTGTCTACATCTCCAAAGCTCAAAATACTCTGTTCCAAAGTTAAACACTACCTTTTGTTTAGTAGAAATTGGCAATTGCCAGAGCTGAAATCAACCAAATATGTGAAGGTGTAAGGAGTTTAAAAACACAGTGGAGCACTTCCTGTATTACCACATGACATCACAAGGTCTTATGTTTTAGAGAAGAACTCAGCCTAAATATGCAGTTTGTGTGTTAAACATGTGTGAATGAAACAAAACACAACTCTAGATATGTTTTTGATGAGGACACATAATAACATCGATCATAAAATGGCGTAATATGGGACTTTTACAAGGTACCATATTACTGTAACTATTTTTACTTTTGTTAGAAATGTTTCAGAAGCTCAGACTGCATTCATAACTATTATTTATCTTAAAAAACACCACAAATCTATGAGACTATCCTATGAAACTGTGCAACAAACACTCACGTAATCCTGACTCGTGACCCTATTCCCCATAATCCCTCAGTGTGTGTACCTTGAGTGTGCTCCTCAGAGCCCTGACTCGGTGCAGTCTGTCATTGAGGAGGGGGTCTCTGGCTCTGTGTGTGAAGCAGCGTCTCAGGTCCTGTCTGCTGCTGGGGCGGGGGTCTCCCAGAGCTGTCACGTTGGCCTGCTCCAGGGCCCTGTACAGCTGCTCCAGACCGTCCAGGCTCTCCAGGGGGTCCCGGCCATCCGAGACTCGCCTCTCCCGCCCCTCGGACACTCTCCTCTCTCTGCTCTCCACTCGCAGCTCACGCAGGTCTGAAGATAGGACACGTAAACTTTTAGACTGGTGTTATACTGTAATTTAACCATTGTGGGATAAATAATTCTAATATCGAATACTTCTGTGAACCAAATAAAATGCACTTCAACTCATCATACCATCAACTCATTTAATCAAGTATTTTATGTAAATGGAGAGTATACAGAAAAATCCCGCACACCGTCTCTTTTTTATTACTTGCAAACTGTGAAATTTATTAGGACAAACCGTGCAACGTTTCGGCACTAGGCCATGTAAATGGAGAGTCCAATCATGATTATATGTTGGGATGGGACAAGAGCTCACTCACAAACTCAAAATGACTGTCCCTCATCTTTGTGGAGAATAATTTACTTTAGAATAAATACCAAAAAAAAAAAACAAACAAAAAAAAAAAACACACACACCCCAATCTGCAACAAATACTGGTTGAAACAGTTGAAGAGGAAAAAAACATAGTAATTGGGAGAGAAACTGTCACTCTAAGTAATTCTTAAAAGATGTCTATTCTCATGTTTCATTCATTTCTGATATGAATATGGATTTGGAATATGTTACATGTTATAAGTTTCTCAAAGCATTTCTATTTATCCATCATGGAATTGAAAGAGTGGAGCAAGTAGAGCGTGTAAAAGAAGCAAACTATAGCACAACCAAAGAGTGATTATGTATTGCGTAACATTTTTGTAAATAACAGCTCTTTAAGAAGTCTTTATTTATTTTGATAGTTTGCTAATGTCACATTCTTATGTTTTCGTAAACTCTTTCCAACAACATTATACAGTAAATACAACATCTGCACTGATATATTTCCTGTAAACAGACAATGTTATTTATTTTCTTACCCTCCTCTGCCTCCAGCATGTCTGCCTGGCTGTCCCCGTCCTCGTCTTCGCTCCTCTCCTCCACATGGGCGGCGCTGGTGTGCAGCAGCTTCCCGGGCATAGGGTCTCTGTTCCGGGGCAGGCTCTGGCTCCTCTGCTTATGAGACGAGCGTCTGTGTGTGTGGCTGTGAGTGTGTGGACCCCTCTCCAAAGGGAAGGGCCCATCTCTCTCCCTGTCCCTCTCGGCCGCGTGGTGTCTCCGGACGGGGAGTGTGGCCTGCCTGCGCCTCTCTGGAGACATACCCTGCCTCCCTAAGCCGCCATAGATGCCCATATCCGCCGCCATTGTCCCCATGTGACCGTAGTCTGTCTCCCCTGGCGCTGTTTGGAGGAAGTGAAGCCCAGCGCTGGTTAGTGGGGTCTCTATCAGGTCTTGCCACGAGCGCCTCTCGCGGTGTGATGAGCGGCAGCCAGACGAATGTGTACTGGTGCTCCCTGTCCCGGTCCCCATTCCCATCCCATCTCCCCTCTGGTCCTCCGCCGAAGAGTGGGAGTGCGTGGATTCGCTGGAGAAGTGGCGTCCGTGTTTAGGCTCAGGAAAGGGGCTGGAGGAGTTGACCTGGAAGGGGAGAGGGGAGGTGGAAGAGACCATCTGTGGCGGGATAGGGGAGGTGGACGCACTCAGTGATATGGGGATGGGGCGAGGGGAGGGGGTGGAGCGGAGGAGACTCATGGAGCTGACCGAGCGGGGCAGGTGGTCGTAGGTATGGAGTAGATTAGTCTTTGGGCGGGGCAGGTGAGGTGAGGTTAGTGACAGAGAAAAGTGCACAGATAAAAGTGGACAAAACATGTGTAAAAGATATGGGAGATTGTGAAGAAACATTACGGTTACAGCAGACAGAGGGACGAGGAGGTACAAAAAGCAATAAGCAATGAGATGATGATGGCTAAAACAACAACTTGGGAATGACTGGCATGACTACAGCAGTCCTTTCCACACTGATCTTATAACAGTAACTATACTTCAAACTAAAATCAAATAAAAATAGATTTAAATACTTTTATGAACAAAGCTTGAATGTTTATCTCTCCTTGCAAGGCCCAATATACACTGAATATTATTATTACTGGAATCAGGTCATTTATATATTAAAACTACCTACACAACACAACAGCTGAGCTTGTTTTAAATGTGTATACATAAATTGGGCATTTAACATATCTATATGGTATAAATATTAATTAGATGAAGCATACATCAGATTACTTCAAAAGTCTCAAAACTTTTTATGCTACTTCCACATAGTTAACACGTTAGGACTGTGATTTTACTGCAGATAAGACATTTCACTGGCTATTATGCAAGTAATAGATCTATAATACCTCATGTTAAATTTGTTTCTATTTTACTCATATATTACTAGGCAAAAATACAGCAATGTTTAAAGCATTTGGAAAACACTCTGTGCAACCCTTGTGTTAAATATACAATACAATTCAGGGTTTCAGTTTAGACTTAGACTAAAAAGTTTGTTGATCCACAAGAGAAATCACTTGGACACCATAGCTCACATATCACAATCTGTCCATTAATGCAAGGAACTTCTGTCTGTGTCTCCTCCTATTGGTTTGTTGGTTTGTTTGAATGTTTGTTTGTCTGTTCCAAGCATAACTCTCAAAGCACTCATCCCACTCATCTCAAATTTAGAGGGTATACCCTCCAAATTTGGGACCTCTACTGGTACCTCTACACAGCAGAGGATGACGCCCACCTCTATGATGAGGGCTTCAATCTGGAGGCTCTGCTGTGCCCCACACCAACAGGGAGGAGTCAAGAGCCACAGGAGACCCAACTGGTGTCTGCCAATATCCAGGAGTCCTCAAACCCCATGGACATAACTTTGTCACTTGGCACGGACAAGGAATAAACTTGCAGATCAGGTCCAAATAAGCATTTCTTTGCTTAGGTCTCAGGACCTCATCAGTCAACTAAGAAAAAGATTTGGAGTAAAAAACAAAACTCAATGATTCTCTCCAGAAGAAAGACAAGCAACTGCAAGACCAGATTAATGCACATAAGCAGATCAGGTACCTGTACAAGTCTACAGTACAGAAAAATGTGCATCTGAAGCAAGAACTGGCAAACTCCAAAAAGGCCAGGAATAAGACTGATGATTTGGAGATGCAAGAACTCAAAGCTTCTCTCCAGAAGAAAGACAAAGTGCTGGAGACGGAAATAAATACATACAAGGAGATCCGATATCTGTACAACAGTTCGGTGAGAGAAAGTGTGCAGCTCAAATAAAAGCTATCCAGCACCAGTAAGTAAGTGCCATAAGAAAGTAAGCACCACCAAGTCCTTGAAAAGATGAAGGAACAACTTAAAGCAAAGGACAATATAATAGCTAAGATGTGAAACACAAACAGGTCAGTTTCAGAGGCCTGCAAAGACTCTCAAACCACTGGTTTTGGAGTTGGTGGAGATGTAACCTACAAAGAAAATGAGAAACTGTCCAGGAAGGTGCAGGAGCTGTCTGCTGCACTCTTCTCAGCATGAGAGGAGATACATTTCCTGAAGCTTTGCTGTGAAAGTGAAAGAGCACAGCCATCCACCTGCCCAAAAGGAGAGACTGTACTGAAGGAGAAGAGGAGGGTGCTCCAGCGCTATTACCAGCACAACAACCAGCAGTGAAACCCCTGCAAACATGACCCTTCACCCTTTACATTATGAAAAAATAAAACTAAAATTGTTTTAACATTATGCTGTTCTCTTAAATGTCTGTAGTAGTTATTTGTGCGCTATGGAGTACAATTTTCATACGCTTTACAGTATATTATATTCAAGATGAGATCACGCTGTTTCAAATTTCAGCACAGTCAGTCTAAGCATGTGCGTGTACATTTAAGCTCTCTACACCAATACCTGTGGCTGTGAGGAGGAACCAAAGAAACAGGAAATTAAGATGTTTTTCGCTGGTGTGCTACGGGCAAAGCATAAGGAATATCCCAAAAAATTGAACGTTTTTTTGAACATGTCTCTAGATGTGACGTTCCAAAATGTGAGCTCATCTGGACCAAAAACCAGACTAGTATATTAAAATAACAAAGAGACAGGAAACAGGAAGCCTAGAGGAAGACCCGTTTCCTGATATACACAACATTTTGAGGAGTTTTTATTGTCTGACAGATATAATATTTTTATTAAGGTAATACATTGTTAATTACTATGGCAATGATTTTACTTTTCTGAGTTCAATGGATATTTCATAAAGAATTGCTGTACTTTGTTGCCATCTAGAGGCCACAGTGTGCATAATCATTGGCAGCAGAATAAACAGAATTCTAGCCTCGCCTAGTCAAGTCTCTCTCTCAGATGTTTTATTAATGTTTGGAGATTCTGAAAAGTTGATGTGCTTTTACACATAAATTATTCTTTTCGAAGTAAGACGTGTGAAAATTGGGTCTTACTGATGGCGTGCGGTGATAGGTGTCGCACATGGACGAGGGAACCTCCTGTTTCAGAGTCATGGACCCATCCACGTCGTCCTGGTCACTCTCACTCCAATAGTCTGAGAATAAAGCAAAGATCAGCAGATTATTACATACAAAACTAAAAATCACAATGACTTCACACTACGTCAGATATAAGCAGATAAAAGCTATAATATTTACTTGTTTTAACTTTTTTTTTTCTTTTTACTTTATGTTGCACTGGCAGACAAATTTAGTTAAAAAACACCATCAATTTAAGATTGTAAAATAAAAAATAATGAATTAAAAAAGGAGTTACTTATTAGGGGGAAGCCAAATTATGTATACATTTAATCAAAGGGAGATATTCAAATAACTGGGATCAAATGAACTGAATTGTAGAGCAAGACATTTCTTGAGAAAATACCTTCGTCTGGACGTGGCACAGGGTCATCGGGTGTGTAGCCAATGGCAGCCAGCCCTAGTCTGTTCATCCATCTGAAAATAAATAAATAAGTAAATGAATAAATAAATAATACATTTTGAATAAAAATATAAAAATCATCAAAGTAAATGACTAAATGACTACAGTTTACTGATCATTTTGTCTATCCACACCTTTGTTTAACATCTCAGGATACATAATAATGTAACTCTCTTCATTCATACTCTTGATACATTTTCTTAAAGGTGCATTATGGAACTTTTCAGGTTGAGGGGTCATGACCTGCTTGTCTCTGTGGAGATGTTATTGCTTTGCCTGGTATTTTCATTGAGGCAAGCAGGTGACACCACTAAGCCAAGTTGTGACCCCACTCACATAAAATTGCTTATTTTTAAGCAATAAAACACTTATAATTGAATTAATTGATACACATTTTGAGATCTGTAGGAATACAATATTGTTAGCAAGTTAAATGAAAACAATTGGACTTAATAGCTTTTTTTTTTTCAAGCCCTGAAGAAGCTAGTGGGCTGATATCAAAACTTTGCCTTCAGAAAGGTAGTGTAAGTCCAGTTGTTTTTGTGTAACTCACTTATAATAACTTGTAATTGAATAAATGCAAGATAGATATGCTTAATGCCATAGTATGGAACATTCTGGGCAGTGTACTAACATCTCCATGATGAAAAGCAGGTGACAGACAGTGAAGTTACATAATGTACCTCTAAATTCAAACTCCCTTCGTCCTTTTTTCCTTGCACTTGTCTCGTCCCATATCTCAACACAAATTAAATAAGGTCATATCTAAGAATAGATTTCCGGCTCCGTACAGAAGAAGCAGTAAAGTCATCTCATGAATCATCAACTTTTTACCAATCTGTATTCAAACAGAGGAGACATCATGTGACATTGAGAAGTAATACTCTTCTATTAATCGAACTGAAGAAATGACTTAAACCAGCATATGAAGGACATGGCTAAAAATAGTCCCCACAGATACATTATTAACAGCCATGAGCGAAGCATGGCCCATAGAACCACTGAAATGTGAGGACAAAAGCTTTTCTTAAAGGTGCACTGTGGAACATTTCGAGGGAAGGGTCCGCCACATGATGTTATTGCTTTGTTCCATAGTATAGATTAAACCTGTTTATCACAGATTAGTCAAACAGGTTACAGTACTACTCATTACAGTACATTACGTTACATTACATTACAGTTCAGATCTGTGGAGAGTCGCCCCTATTCACAGAAGGAATTATAGTATTTTTGAGCAATAGAAACACATGTAATGAAGAAATGCTTGATGGAAATGTTAAAAGTAATACCATGGAACATTCCAAATAAGGCAATAACATCTCCATGGAGACAAGAAAAGTTGTACAGTGCATCTTTAACGTGACCCTCTCCTCTGCATCATTTACTCTCTTTCACAAATCTTCCTCTAGTCTTCCTGTTTCCTGGAAGCATCATTCTATCCAAATATTTACTGTCCCTCCTCTGTACCAAATATTTACTGTCCCTCCTCTGCACCAAAGATTCACTGTCCCTCCTCTGTAGCATACATTCAATCTCCCTCTTCTGCACCATATATTGTTGTGTTGCTGTATCCTTTTGCAAGACACTTCACCCTGAATGATTGAATAGGCCAGTGCAATCAAATGGTTGTGTTTGCAGGGAGAAGAATCCATGAATTGTAGGAATAACTACAAATTGACATTTCTTTGCTGTTTTGTACTGCCTAACCAATTAATGGACAACTGAAAATGTCTTTTTTCCTAATACAGTATACTCTCTATAACACCACTACACACCTTCATTACAGTTACCCATTTTCACCTACAAATGCGTAAAAACTATAGACAACAGCATTTTCACAAGCGGGCCCATTAACCCAGCGTGCCAGTCACATTTAGCTGATTAATTAGCGTGGTTCAATTATGCCCGGATGTGTTGGAGCAGAGGTGTGGAGAACCAGGGCTCCTCACATCACACTCAGTACGACTCACAGGACCCAGCACTGCTCATGTATTATTCATGCACATGTTGTATCTGTGGGATTAGCGCTGTGTAAAGCGGGTTTACTCTTTTTAAATATGCATGAAGGGCCCAAGTGTCTAACTGGAGTCTGGACTGAATTAAAAGAGGATATTTGTTATTTGTTTAAAAGGCCCATGTTATGCAAAATTGACTCATGAGCTTTAAATCCATGTTAGAATATTGTTACCTCCTCAAAAACATACCTGGAGTTGTGTTTTGTTTCATTCACACATGTTTGAGTAATCCTGCATTATTATACATCTCCATAACTCAAAATGCTGTTCCACCTTGTGATGTCATGAAGTGGTAGTTTTTAAGTTAACAGTGAACCTTTAACTTTAGTTCAGTAGAGAATTTCTAGGCTGAAATTATCCAAATGATTCTAGTGAAGGTGTGTATTACCACATGACATCACAAGGTGTTTTCTGTTTGAGAAGAAGAGCCTAAATATGCAGGGTTTGTGTATTAATGAAACAAAACTATGTACAATGCACTCTTTAATTATAAGAAAACATTTTGTACAATGTTGTTTTGGTTGTCAAGACGATTATCCAGTTACAATTCTAGTTTCTACTATCTACAGCTTGACTTCTGTGCATGTGGGATTTACCTAAAGGTGCTCTATGTAACTTTTCAGGTGGGAGATGCGCAACTTGCATGTCTCCATGGAGATGCTAATTTTAATCTAACACCATCACCTGCATCTGTGTACACAGGTAAGTGCCATACTGAGGAAGTTGTCAAAGCATTTCAAAACATGTCTAGAGACAAGCAGATGACATACCTGACAAACCTGAAAAGTTACACAGTGCTCCTTTAATTTCATGTCAATAGCACCTTTGTAAACCTTGTCCTTTTTTAAATCAGAAACCTGGTGACACAGCCAGTACATTTGCATTATTTTGTATTGACAGTGTATTATTGATTTGTTTTAATGATCAGAGCGAAATTTGAAAGAAATGATGCACATTACATAATGATGAAAAGACGTAAAACCCACATCTCTCCACTCACCTGTTCATTTCCTCAAGACAGTCTGTGGCGAAAAAGAAGCTCTTGATTTTGGGATGGCAGGCTTTGAAGGCGCTGTCAATCAAACGCACACAGAGACACTGATTAGTATTAGTGTTAGCTGCCTCTCGCGCTACAGCTTTCACTGAGAGAGCATGGCTCAGCAAGTGATTCGTGATTAGTAATTTTTTTTAAACGATACTTACAATTTCCTCCGGCACTCAATAGCTCTGTCTATTCTGAACTCTGGAAGACTGATGAAGCCCTCAGCCTTCTCGTCCTGCAAGAGGGGCACAGATGGAGGTTGGTGGAGTGACAGCATGCCGAGGTGCAAAATGTCAAGCATACAGAAATACAGTCAGATTTGGAGCAGTGTATTAATCAGGCTCAAGTATCATAAACAGCATATGTTGTTTACAATGTCAGGCTTGGAATGTTGTTACCACCAGATTTGAATAGTTATATAAAGAAATATGTTAATACTTTATAATTACTACAACTTAGCTAGCTATAATAAAACCGAAAGAAAGTTGCAATCACAAAATTGAGCTTTATGTCATGTTCTAATGTAGGGGTGTCCAAACTTTTTTCATCAAGGGCTACATATCCAAACACAGACGAAGCATAGGGCTGATCGAGGGCGGTACATATAATAATTGAATTGAATAATTGAAATGTGTGCATGTTTAACACGTTAGAATGAGCCATCAGTCTTTATTCATGCTAAGATCCTTAAAACCACACACTAAATATTAAATATTAACTTTATCAAGGTAGATTTTCAAAAAAATTGCAGTAAAAAGTTCATTTTTAATTGATGCATGGGCCAATTTGGGCCAATTCACCTGGAAGCCTGAAGGCCAAGAAAAATTTGTCTGGGGCCACATTTGGCCGACGGGCCATAGTTTAGACATGCCTGTTCTAATGTGATTACCTCTTCAAAAACATCTCTAAGTTGTGTTTTGTTTCATCCATTAAATAACCCTTTATTATTAGTCTGACCACATCTCCAAAGCTCAAATTGCTCTGCTCCACCTTGTGATGTCATAAAGCGGTAATTTTCAAATTAAGAGCTACCTTTTACTTTTTGCTCAATAGAAAGCAGCAATTCCAGGGCTGAAATTATCCAAATGATTCTAGTGTAGGTGTATGGATTAAAAACACAGTGGAGCACAACCTGTATTACCACATGACATCACATGGTGGTGTTTTCAGTTTGAGAGAAGATCTTTCTGTGAGTGAAACAAAACACAACTCCAAGTATGTTTTTGATGAGGAAACAACATTATAACATAGAAAAAAATTAAATAAATAAATAGTGTAATACAGGCCCTTTAAGAAGAAGAAATTACTAATATGGAATCAATGATAACAAAGTATTTACTCATTATGAATCTTTAGTTAAGGTAAAGTTATTATAAAGTGTTACCACAAATACAGATACTGCTCTGTAATAGTACCCCAGTGGATTTGGGCTGATAATGTTCCTTTTGTGTTTTAGTTCTTATTTTTTAATTATTATTTTTTTTGTTTTGTTTTAACACATTTTGTGCTTAAGTAATTACATAATTGTCTCTATCAAAGGAGTAGTGTTTTTGAACTCAAGTGATAATTTTCTTGTCTTTCAGCTAAATATTAAAATGGGAACATAATATTGAGGAAATAGTCGGAACATCCTTCCTTTGTGTATTTTATCTTTGTTACAATTGCGAGATGGGGTCTAGGATGGAGATTTGCTGCATCGGCTTAACGGGCCCATATTGCAGTATTTTTGTTATTTTTTTAGACAATGTTATCTCATCAGAAACGTAGCCCTGGATGTGTTTTGTTTCATTAACATGTTTGAGTAGTCATTTATTATTAGTCTGTCTACATCTCCAAATGCTCTCTTTGTTTTGTTTAATTTTTGATGAGGAAACAACATTCTAAAATTTCAGGCACAAAAATATCTTCAAGCTTGAATGTAAAAAAAAAAAAAAAAGAAAAACGTGATCACACTGCTAATCATATTCATATACGGTTCATATGTTATGAGCTTGTTTTGGAAATTGCACAGATTTTCCTCCAAAGGTCATCTTTTATTTCCACCTGGACAGTACTAAAACCATGGAAAGGTCAACTGTGGACAATCAGATAAGATTAGCTGTGATGATTATTGAGATCTATTTATTTATTTTTATTTTTTTTTTATAACTTTGTCAAGTTTTAAACGTTTTTGAAGGTATGGGTTGGATCCGTAATAGTTTATAGTAACACAACCTTTAAAAATACATGCTAAAATAGAAGAAATATTGGACATTCACAAAACTAGAACTTACAGTAGGCCAACTTTTTCACAATTTTACTATGTGTCTGGTATTTTAATAGCATTCTCTACAGTCCTGGCTTTTATGCAGTTTTAGTGTGAAATGGGTTAATTTGCAGCTTGTGGCCAGTTCTATTTGAGATATATTTTGTCTTACTATATTTCTGCATTTTATTATTACTTGTACATGCACATTTATATAATTATGCCTTATTTGACACCAGTCTCTTGTTATTTTTGCAACTTATTTAGAATTTAGTGTGAGCTACTGTGTCTGACTAATTTCCCTTGTGGAGCAAAGAAATTTCATTCAATGTTTTATTTTCAAAACTACAATGATAAATCCTTACGTTCTGATTGGTGTACCAGTAGAGACAGGATTCCTTGAGGATAAACCAGTACTTCCTCCACTTCTGAGTGAAATATCCTTTGGCGTCTTTCTTCTTCCAGAGCCAGCCCTCACAGTCCCCGTGGCCCAGGTCTTTACACGAGATCCTCCTTCGACTCGCACTGGTCAGAGAGCCTACATTATAGACAGGGGCAGAAGAAATGTTAAAGGAAAGATTAAACAGTAGGCCCAGTGTACAGCACTATTGTCACTCAGTATCAATGTTAAGGAAAATATTAGATCAGGTCTCAGTTTACCGATTTCCATATCACATTCAACTAAAAATACTTATTGTAGTGTATGATAGTCTTTTACAAGTTATACTATTGAATATGCTCTTCTAAAATGTATTAGGAAAGGTCCATGTTTGCATTTTTTCAGTATTTGTATTATCTCAAAAGATAAGAGTTTCAGAATCAATTAGTTTTTATTTATTTTACTATTAGTATTGAGGTTTTAGTAGCAATTGGGCATTATTAAAATTTCACTTACATTTTACCTCTGTTGAAGAAATATATCTAAAATAAAAGTTAGGGCTAGGATTATAAAAAAGGGGGAAAAAAAAGAAGAAAATTATGAACTTTGCATCATTTGTAAACCACCAAAATCCAATAATTTTGCCCATAAAATAGTGTGTATAAACGCCCTACTTGCTAGTATAATAGAGGAAATACATTTTGTCCTGACAGCACCTCACCTTTTTTCTTTTTGGTTTTTGTCCGTAGAGAGGTGTAATGAAATGACTGAAAGAGACAGACACAAAAAGCAGGTTTATAAATAGTTACGCAAAACCCATGAACTTGAAAATGCATTTTTCACATTTGCCGGCGCAGCGGTCACTCTCTTTTCACATTTGGGTTATTTTTACCCCATCGTACATACACCAGAGTGGATTATGGGTACTCAAGGCTCATGGGATACAACTATATATCCAGAAAATGCACTGCACCTGTAATGGGGGCCTGAGAGCTGGTGTGACTGTCGCAATTTGTGTCACTTTTTCTGCTATTTTAGTCCATTTGGTAAATACATCAAAAAGGTTTCACATGTTTTGTTGTTATTTATTTATTTGAATAGAAGAGCTGTTATATGCACTATTTAAATATACCTGGCACTTTTGCAATAATGGCCTACACAGATGTCCTATACTGTGGAATATTCCAAGCAAAGTAGTAACAGCTCCATAAGAAAATCAAATGGCATACTCCAACCAAAAAAGCTACACAATGCACCTTTAAAATATTGGTATAAAAACAATAGGGCCCCATTGGCTCTTCTTCTTGGATATTTATTCCAGCCTCAGTATCTGATAAATGTGTTTACTGAGAATGGTCTGACTCACAAACACGAAAGACCCGGGCTCATGACTAACGCAGTGTCATAGTAACCTAAATACACACACTTTAACATAACCTGCTGATTTAATCAAATTTTGACACAAAAAGGATTGCAACACAGGTATCGCTCCTGGCTGCGTGAGCTATTCTTGAACACAATTGATCTTTATTGCGGCAGTTGCTAGGAGAAAGCTGATGTAATGATAACAGATTGATTGCTAGGGCTGCATGATTAATCGAAGTTGACTCAAAATCACAATTTGAATGGATGCAATTAGCAAATTGCAAAGGTTGCAATTTTTTAAAGGATAATTTTCTTCACAAACAACATATCCTGCCTTATTCTGCATAAAAACTGCTAACCCTGTAGTTTAAGTCTGTGCATGTTCCGAAATGTGATTCTTGTATTAGTCTCTTCTCTTCATCAGTTCTTCTTCACCAACTGTTCTGGACGTGTTAAAATCTTAAACTTGGAACAGAATCCTATGATGCTATGAAAAAAAAACAACAATATATATTTTTTCACAAATGGCTCAGTCGAAGTTGATAGTTACAAGAATCTAAACAATTTTGAAGAGTAAAATCTGTAGCATTTTATTTGCCATTTTCTTTCAAACTGGCCTATGGTTTAGTGCAAAGGGATGGACAACCTCATACAGTATAGAATTGAAGATTCTTTTAATAATAGCAACCATATAGCTGTATCCTATGTGACCTTTATCTAACCAAGTGTGAGTCGGAGGTTGCTAATCCTCTCTTCAAGGCTTTCTTGGCCTATATAAAATCCTCTCTGCTATTTGTCTGTTTGCTTCACCAGTGCATACAATACATCACCATTTAACCCTATCGTTCTCAATAACACCACTAATTTCAATGGCTGATATAGCATTACTTTATATGAGCAGCAAGTCTATTTAAAGGTACCCTATGGCTACGTTCAGACTGCAGGGCTTAATGCTCAATTCAAATTTTTTTTTGAAATCCGATGTTTTTGCGAGGTCGTTCACATTTCCAATTAAATGCGACTTGTATGTGATCTCCAGTGTGAACATTAAATGGCCCGAAAGTGTCCCGTATGTGCAATGGAGGACACGATGACATCAACCTCAGCGAGCGTGCTCTGTGTTTACGGAAGTTGTCCAAACATGGACACGAGCATTGAGCACCTGGCGATTTTAAAGTTCCTCCCGTACCAGAGCCAGAACATGTACAACTTACTTGTTTTAAGGAAGAGATTGAGAAGTAGAAGGACAAGGTTTTTGGCCATAGTGTTTTGTGGGACAGTGGCAGCAACGTTCGTTGAAAGGAACGTGTGGATGTGCAGATGTAGCCAAGAGTGGTGAGTGGCGATGTGCTTCGCTTCAGTGACACGGAGTTCATTAACAATTTTTGCAGGCTTCAGCGCAGAACACTGACGTTTGTGGCTTGTTGATAACATGTAGGTCGGATAGATGCGCTTTGGCCGTTCAGACTGAAGTCGCATGTCAAAAGATCAGATATGTATCGGTTTCAGGAGCACATATCCAAGTGTCCCGGGTCACAGTTGAAAAAATCAGATCTGTGTCATTCAGACTATCATTAAAAGATCAGATACAGGTCACATAGGGGCCAAAAAATCGGATTTGGGTCACTTCCGGCTGCAGTCTGAACGCAGCGTATGTTACTTTTCAAGAGGGCATCTACAATAGAATGTATATACATCTATAAATGGATGTAGCTAATGCACTAGTTGCCATGTTCCAAATAGAAGTGAGCGTGGGTGCACTTCCAGCTCCATCGACTCCTGTATCCAGTTGATTTTACATTGAAAAACTATCATCCCTCTCTCTGTAACTCCTGCAGTGAGAGTTGTAATTTTGGTGTGAAAATGTTAATATTCACCCGCTCTACATGATCCTGGTGTTTTTATTTTGCTCTTTTGTCCATGAATCAATATATACATTAATAACAGATCAATGTGCTTTTGCCGAGGTCGCTCCTATTAGAGTCAGCAACAGGTTGACTGCCAAACCAGCGGTGGGGAACGGGTGTTCCCGTCAACATCCTCTTTTCGGATTGGCCCTTTGGTTGCTACGATACTCTCTCTGACATAATTACAAATATAGTAGCTGGCTCCAAATTCACCTCTATAACTACTATCCTTGATGAGCTTCATTTGACTGGAGCCGAACACTACGGGTGACGTCACACAGTATAGCATTAAACTTTTTAATCTTACATTTATTCAATTACACGTGTTTCACTGCAACAAAAGTGCTACAAAATACAATAGTAGTAGTAGTAACCAGTAGTATCAACTAGTAACAATACTAAAGTTTTGTCATTCACCTTTCGCATAGAGGCTGCTCCTGAGCTGCTGGACCCCGAGTACCTGCTAAAATAACACACACAAATATTATTACGTTAATCTTCTTCTCACTCAAATAATAATAATAATAACAATTCTTCTCTCTCAAATAATAATAATAATAATAATGATAAAATTCATCCAATCACAAAGGCACACTAACCTGTCCGTAGTGTCCGCCCGCAGGGTGTCCGCCCCTCGCTGTAACAGAAAGCACTTTGAATCACCTCACCATGGTTACGCAAGATTATAAATAGGATCTCATTTGTTTGGACAATAACCTCCCTAATAAACCATCGCTCCACCATTCAGCGTTTTACCCTGGACATGATGTACTGTATTGTCCCTGTAATGGTTTTCTGTTGAGAGCCAGCAGTGGTGTTATTGTTGCTAAACAGGAGGATGTATTTTGATAAGAGTATGAGTAATGAACAGTGGCTAAAAATTTACTCAATTACAGTAACATTTGATATTTGCAAGTATTTGTAATTAGTAAAAATAATCATAATAAAAATAATACTAGTCAGCGCCTCAGCTACTGAAAGAGAGGGAGGAAAAGAGAAATGGAAGGAGAGATTTCAGCGAGGGAGGGCGAGGGAGAGAGACTGTTTCTATTTAACTTTACTTTGAAAATCTTTTGCCCTTCTTGCTGTAACTGCTGCAGTGAGCGCAATTTTGTAAATTTGTAATCGTAATTTTGGTCTTAAAAGCGTTCTCACTCTTTTTCATTGACAAAATTTCCAAACATTTCCATGATTTTTCATGGCCTAAAGTAAATTTTCTATTACGTTACAGCACCTACATGTGTAGAATTGACCATACTTTTAGGGCTAAATATGAAATGTTAATCCTTTCCCTCACCTTATGATTTGGTATTATAGTTTTAACATTCAAAATACTGTCGGTGCATCTTTGTTGTCTCTTTTAAACAAAAGCTGAATATGTTGGAAAATAATCAGAATAGCCTAATGAGAACTTAACAGAGCGCTATAGTTGCATGAAAGAGATACTAAAATTCTAAGACTTTCCTAAAACTTTCATTGAATTTACAAAATGCCATGACTTTTCCAGGCCTGGAAAATGACATTCTCAATTTCCATGACTTTTCCAGGATTTTCATGACTGTGGGAACCCTGTAAAATATTTGTATTAACCCACTCTATATGATCCTGGTGTTTTTATTTTGCTATTTTTTTACATAAATAAATTCCTATTTCTAATACAGAACTCAGCCCCAAATTTCCTCTTATAACTGCAAGCCTCAATGGGCTTCATTTGACTGGAGCCGAACGCTGTCTTCTTGTATATTGGTTTTAACTGCGCACTATGCAACTTTTCACAGTCTTTTACTCACTGAAGATGTTATTTCTTTGCTCCAGTTTATTAACTTATAGGGCTATTTATCTCCATGGAGACAAGCAGGTGGCATTACAAGCCCAGGTTACAGGTCAGAGCTGTGGAGAAATGACCCTGTTTACAGCAGAAAGCATGTTTTTTTTGTTTGGCTGTAAAAAAGCCTGTAATTGAATGCACATTACATAATTTTAGTGTCATACTCTGGACCATTTTAGGCAACGCGATAACTCTATCACCTCCCTCCTTGTAAAGTTACACACTCAAAAAAGTCAACACATAAATGACAAGGTTTTAGAGTTTAAATTAAGTAAGCATTTCATATAAGGATGGCTGTACTAGGACGTAGATCTGATTTCTCTCACTTTTGGTCATTTCTATATAGTTTTGTACACATTGAAAACACCTTATTGCATTCTTAAAAGCCCTTTCACGCATTGCAATAAAAATATGTCCAATTAAAATCGTACATTGAGTTCTTTTACAACTTGTGCACAGCTAAAGCCCGTGATTAGCATATGCTTGTCAATGCAGCATACATACTGTATTACTCGATGTGCAAATGGCAGTGAGTCACCAGAGTCATCAGAGAAAGAGGGAGGAAAAGGCCGACGGAGAGGGAGAAAGAAAGAGAGGGGGAGTGAGGAGAGTGAGAGGGAGACAGAGAGAGAGAGCGAGGAAGAGATGAGAGTGGGAGATAGAAAGAGGGAGAGTGAGAGAGCGAGAGAGGCTGGTGTCGGCCAAGCTGTTAAAACACTATGTATTTGTGTGCGTGGTTTTAAGCACAGTCTGACAGCAGTGCTTGTAATTGGTCTGCCTGATGCTGAGTCATACATCCGCTCCAGAGGGGAAGGAGAGAGGGAGGAGGAGAGAGAGGAGAGGAGGAGGACGAAGGGGAGGCGAGAAAGCAGATTAAGATAAAGAAGGGAGAGAAGAAAGGGGAGAGAGGGGAGTCAAGGAAGGAGTAGAGAGAGAAGCAACAGAGAGAGAAAGATGAAATAAAAGGGAGAGAGGAGGGTAGAGAGATAGCGAAGGAGACAGAAAGATGGATTAGAGAAAGAGGGAGAGAGAGCGAGAGAAGGATACCAAAAGGAGAGAGAAAGGACGCTGTATTTGTCCAGAATAAACTTGTATTTATAATCAGACCTGTCTGAGGAGATGGGGCATTAGGAGTCAGGAGATGTACACTTTGAATACAAATGAGAACAGCTCATGTACCTGAGATCCTTCTGAGGACTACACACACACAGGCACAAGGCAATACAATACAATTTGAGTGCTACTTCTTATGATTCAAATAGAAGTGTCAAATAGAAGTAGAAGTTTTCAACAGAAGAACTAAACTATGAAAACTCCTCCTGGATGTCTGAGTTATTCCACCAATAATAATACACTGGTAAATAATGCTGCAAAGTAAATATTATAATTTGGTCATGATTAATCCTTGTCGGAGGTTATATATGAAAAAAATTATGTGTACAGTTTTGTGATACAAACTCTATATTAAATAGGTGAAGCGCATCAAAGTAAAAGCATTGTGTACCTTGATAAAGAATAAATATTTGGTCTTATGAGGAGAAGGACATAAGGAGTATGAATACAACCTTGAATACAAATGTGCTATGTCCTGCTTGTACTTAAGCTCCTCCTGCAACTGCCCTGATCAGAGAAGTAACATTAAAGGTCCTATATTAAGCAAAATTGACTCTTTAGAGCTTAAAGCCATGCTGGAATGTTGTTACCTTCTCAAAGACATACCTGGAGTTGTGTTTTGTTTCATTCACACAAGTTTTGAGTAACTTTGCATTATCAGTCTGCTCTCTTCCACCTTGTGATGTCATGTAGTGGTGGTTTTCAAGTTAACAGCTACCTTTTCCATTAAGTTCAGTATAGATTGGCAATTCCAGGGCTGAAAGTTCATCGGCTGAGGTCCAGCTTTTTTCCTGGGGCTTTCAGACATTTGAACGCTGCACACTGACTCTCTGCTTAGGCTGCCACTCTATCTTGCTACACATTTTACTTGTACTTGTCTATTGGAACTGCTAAATGCTCTTGATGTACTTTTTAATACTGCTTCTTCCTTATTGTTCTAAAGTCTTTTAAACACTAGACACTGAGGAACACATTTCGTTCTGTGGTGTGTTTCTCTCGTATGCTTGAATGACAAATAAAGAACCTTGAACCTTGAAATCATCCAAATGATTCTAGTGAAGGTGTATGGAGTTTAGTATTTAGTATTATCTGTCTGAGAGAAGAACTCAGCCTAAATATGCAGGATTTGTGTGTTAAATATGTGTGAATGAAACAAAACACAACTCCAGCTCTATTTGTGATGAGGAAACAACATTATTATAACATAGATCAGAAAATAGTAAAAGTAATATGGGCCCTTTAAAGAGGGAGTTGGATTGAATCAAGAAAGTGTAATTCATTCATGAACAAATCTAGACACAACCTCTCCTCACTGCTGTATTTCTCCTCTAAACGACAGAATCTACATTACAAACTGGAATAAAGGTGTAAAATACCATGACACATAAAAAGTTACAGTTAAATTTGTAACTTGTCGGTGGTAAGACGGATGGTTTAGCTAATGCAGTCTGCTAAAATTAAAATGCAGTCTTAATCTTAATAGCTTCAGAGCATAAAATATAAAAGAGCAGGTTGCCATCCACCTTTAATTATCCTTGAAAATGTTGCCAAAGGTATTGTAAGTGTGAAGACAGTAAATCGTTTATATTCTGTCTCCATGGAGAAAAGCAGGTTAACCAAAACTATAACTAAATACCTAACAACTTCTCAAACTCATGTGATAATGATGTTCTAAAATACCACTACTAAGGAGATATCACTACTATTGTTTTGCAAGTCTCAAGTAAGTCTCAAGTCAAATACAGGCAAGTCTAAGTCGAGTCTCGAGTCCCTGGCTCTCAGTCCAAGTCAAGTCCAAGTTGTCTACTTTGAGCTTCAAGTCTTTTCGAGTCTTTAAACTAAAGTACCAAATATAGCTTAAATTTTTGTTATTTATTATTTTGTTATTTATGTACTTATAAAGTCATAGTATATTTATATATGAGTATATAAAAGTTGTAGAATTCCTTAGAGATCTTAGTGTGAATCAGTACAGTCAGAATACAGAACAAATTCAGATTTAAAGTGCTTCTCAAGTCTCAGGCCTCAAGTTCGAGTCAAGTCCTAAGTCACTGACCTTCAAGTCCAAGTCAAGTCCCAAGTCTAAGTCCATTTTATCAAGTCAAGTCTCAAGTCCTAAAAACAGTGACTCAAGTCTGACTCGAGACCAAGTCAAGACTTGCAAGTCCCACCTCTGGCTAATACTTACTTCTACTACTACTTCTACTTCTACTACTACTACTACTACTACTACTACTTCTACTACTACTACTACTACTACTACTACTACTACTACTACTACTACTACTACTACTACTACTCTACTTACTACTTCTACTACTACTTACTACTACTACTACTACTACTTACTACTACTACTTACTACTACTACTACTACTACTACTATTACTACTACTACTACTTACTACTTTACTACTACTAACTACTTCTACTTTTTTTTACTACTTACTACTACTACTACTACTACTACTACTACTACTACTACTATTACTTCTACTTCTACTACTACTACTACTACTACTACTACTACTACTACTACTTCAACTTCTACTTCAACTACTTCTTCAACTACTACTACTACTACTACTACTACTACTACTACTACTTCTTGTACTCACAGAGAGTGCGTCAAGAGGCTGGTCGAGGCGCAGGGTGGAGGAGAGGAGGGAGGGGCTGAGGGGGTAGCTGGGGCTGCTGGGGTTTCTGCTCTTGCGTCTGGAGCGTCTGGTGGAGTCTCTTCTGCTCTCTCTCCCCGGGCCCTCAGGCTCCTCCTCGATCACCAGGATTTTATCATCGCTCAGGTAACGCAGCAGGGAGTTATCTGAATCTATGGGACAAAGAGGAAGAGAGACATAGGAGTTAAAACAAAATAAGAACAAACAAGTTAAGGTGCATGCATTTTTAAAGGGTAGAATGCAAAATGACATGTTTAAGAAAAGGTACAACAGAAGAAACATTTATAAATCCAATGTTTATGTATCATGGGTATGCTGTGTGAGTGTATGTTAGTATTTTTATTTTTATGTTTTATCTATGCTATTGTATATATTCTATTTATTATTATTGTAAATGCTGATGCAACTGATGAGAAAAAGCATTTTGTTCATTTATGTGTGTTGTTTTGATTTGACAATAAAGTTCAGTATTTAAAATGAAAGTCCATCAAAAATCTTTACTGAGTCACTATTAACTTTTCCCCCTTTTTTAAGAATATATTTTTCATTTGTTCATGCATGAAGTTAGAATCTTTGGGCTTTAATTAAAAAAGATAAGTGAATAATTAAGAATTCCTCAACAGTGACTACTTGCTGGGACCCAATCAACTACAGTATGTTGTAACTAATGACCACAAGACATATTATATTTCATTTAAAATCTGTTTCAGAAATGTTATTAGCCGTTAATTAAAAAAATAATAATAATAATAAAAGTCACTGCATTGTAAAGGGCCCATATTTTCTTATCCATGTTATAATGTTTCCTCATCACAAATATACTGTACCTGGAATTGTGTTTTGTTTCATTCACACATGTATGTTTCATTCACATATTTAGGTTCTTCTCTCAAACTGAAAACACTCTGTTCCACCTTGTGCTGTCATGTGGTAATACAGGAAGTACTCCACTGTGTTTTTAAACTCCTTACACCTTCACTAGAATCATACAGATATTTCATCCGTGGAATTCTCAATCTCTACTAAACTAATTAAAAGGGAGCTGTTAACATGAGATCTACCACTCTATGACATCACAATGTGGAACACAGCTTAGCTTTGGAGATATACTGTAGACTGATTAAGGGTTATTCAAACATGTGTGAATGAAACAAAACACAACTCCAGGTATGTTTTTGATGAAGTAACAGCATAATTTCAAAGCTAAAAGCTCACAAGAGTCAACTTTGCGTAATATACAGTATAACCTTTAAATTTTAAGTGTTTGTGTTAGATTAAAAACTTTAACTATTACTGCTTTCACATCCATTAAAGCTAACTAAAGACAAGTCTCATACTCCACTAAAACCGCTGAGAATTTCACGCCAAATCAAAATGGATAGATGGCTTCAGATCTATTCCATTTGATAGTGATCCACAATCCGGACATGGCGCTTATCTGTTTGCAGTGTTCATGCCAAATTGGAAATCTCAAATACTAACAAGCCCTGAAAGTTTATTTGAAACAGGAAAATGTTCTTGCCTGACTTGTTTACTATCCATATTCTATAATGTAAAAGCGTGGAAAGAGACAGAAGAGAGGAGGTGCAGGAGGTGAGAGAGACAGACACTGGTTTAATGTTATTCATAGACTTGTGACGGCAGAGTGGAGCATCCTCGCCTGAATACAAATAGAGGAGAGAGGTTCAAAACGGCTGAACAGGTTAAAATTAGTCAGAGAAACTCGTGATGTCTGATTGTCTAGTGGTTTTTGTGTGGTTTATTTAATGATGTTTGTGAAATGTGTGTAGAGAGAAGAGTGGAGTGTTGGAGGGGTTTATTTTATCTTATTTTTTTCCTAGTTTTGTTTTAGTTCGGTAAAATATTCAAATAAAATGAAAATTGTCAGAAAAAATAAATAAACAAAAATAAAACAATGTACCTATAGCCATGGTTTAAATGCCATTTTCTCACTTCACTGTCACTCTGTATTACTCTGTCACTGTCAGAAAAATACCAGGCTACATTTTACATTGGCAGACATATAGCAGTGCATCTATGGGCTCATCTTTTGTGGATAGTTTAATAGCTATGCAACCACCGTGCACAGTCTCCATTTGAAACTACAATAAAATAAAATAATTTTATTACTAAAGCAAAACAGCAATCACTTGATATTGTTTTAGATTTTTTCCAGGACTAATTGGTAATATTTTAAAAATTAAGAGATATAGTATCGGAACTATTGTAAATTAAAATATAGATTACAGTCTTAAAATGTAACTTCTTTGGTATTATTATTATTTTTATCAGTACAAATATTATGAATGTAAGGCATTTTGAAGGTGCACTATGTAACTTTTCTGTTTGAGGGTCTGACACGTACTTCTCTCCTTTAAGATGTTAATGCTTTGCCTGTAATGTTTCACAGTATTGCATGACACCTAAATGTCTCCATGGAAACAACCAGGTTAAGTTACAGGTCCATTCTGTGGAGAGAAGACGCCGCTCACAGTAAGGCTACGTTTACATATAGCCGGGTATTTTGAGAAAGGAATATTTCCCTCCCTCCGTTTTCCAAAATAACATTGTGCACACAGCATCTTTTTCAGAAAATTTTTGTTCACATCAATCCGCATAAATATGCCATTCAAGTGCAATCACAACTAAACCAAGCCTATGGGCGGCACCTGGATTAGATTCAAAGCTGTAGCATTTATTTCATTACAGTTGTAAGTATTACTCAAAAATACCTTGAAAAACGTGCATTACTGAGCAGCGTCGTCTCTCAACAGACCTGTTAAAAAAATGTCAAAACTGCCGCCCTCCGAGTCTTATTTGTCTTTATTTGTGTATTTGTTGGATATGAAACATTAGCTGTGTGTGCAAATGCAAACACATGAAAAATGTTTCACCAGAGGAAATGTGACTGCTGCTCTGAATGCTCCATGATCATCATCAGAGCAAAAGGGAAACATTGGTCACACTTTTGGCGCGTCAGCTCCTAAAACTCCGCTTATGCCACTTTACACACAAACACCAAACCGGAGTTTTCCAGAATCTCCACTCCAGCCAGAGTTTTTAGACAGATTCGTTTTCAGAGGAGAATTTCCTGTTTGCGTGTAAAAGATGAGTATAAACAAAGGAAAAATGTTTTTAAAAATACCTGTGTACGTGTAACATGAAAGTGTAAGAATTATTTTACCACTGAGGAGCAATCCATGGAGAAATGCATGTAGCAGATCCCTATCAAAACATCGCATAATGCACCTTTAAAGCCACAGTATGTAACTTTTAAAAGCATGTTGTTTTTTGTTTTGTCTTTTTTCCATTTTGGTTGTGGGTATTGTACTGAAAAAAAAAAACAAAAAAAACATGCATCCTTACTCTGAGTGGGCTTACATCTTCACAAACCTGACTTTTATTTGGCCTGGAGGAGTTTCCATGAAAATGTTGTTCCTTTGGTTATTATTTTCCACAATATGGCATGAAACCTAATGCCATGGAGAATAAGTGTGGTTTAATCTTAGGTTTAATGCAGTATTGTGGAAAATTCCAGAAAAAGCAAGACAATATTACACCATTAACTTCATTTTTGTCACGTAAATATTTGCTTCGCTTCAACACCATATCATTAAACCTACCTTCCCAGAGCAGCTGTATAAACGCATTGGCTGCATTTATATCGATTTACCGCTCTGTCAGATACATAGCAGGCTGTTATGTATCCAGTGACAACCATTGCACCATGAAGAACCGCAGATGAGATGTGTTGAGAATGGAGCAAAGCATGGCAGCAGGTCTGAAACGGTTGGACTGTATTTTTGGTGACGTTTTTCGGGGGTTAGTGTGGGAGTGTGTGCACGTGTACCTCTGCTCCCTCTCTTGCCCATGCTTGGTTCCTTGGGCTCGGCCATCCAGTTATATTCGGGAGGCATGGAAACGGGTCTGTGGTCACCTGGAACGACCAATCAGCATTTAGAGAAGCTGGGGGTGGGACGGACTTATAGGAATGTTGTGGTAAAGACACTGGGACATGTGACGAGTGGAGGACGAGAGGACAGTAATAGTGTGTGTGGGGGTCAGGGGACGGGAGACGATTTTGGGACTGGTACAAAGTGCATGGAGACAGTAAAAATGTAAGACATTACTCGGTTTAAGGTGACGTTGTAAGATTCAAGTTCTGGGCAAAGGTGGGAGAGTAGTTAGCGCTTCAGACTCAAAGCAAGAAGTTCCCAGCTTTGATTCCTGGATGGAGCCTTAATGTGAAATTTACTTGTTCTGTTCTCCCTGTGTTCACAATCCAGTTTTCACTTTTGGCACAGCTTGATTTTATTTGTATTTTATTTTCTGATCTATGTTATAATGTTGTTTCCTCATAAAAAAAAAAAAAAAAAAAGGAAAACATATCTGGTGTTATGCTTGGTTTCATTCACACATATTTAACACACACATCCTGCATTTTAAGGCCTTTTTCTTAATGTAGTTCCTAGTTCTTCTCTAAAGCTGAGTGACAGACAAATGTGGTAATACAGGAAATGTTTCACTCTGTTTTTACACTTTCGCTGGAACCGTTTGGATGATTTCAGCCCTAGAACTGGCAGTCTCTACTGAACAAACTCTAAAAGGTAGCTGTTAACTTGAAAACTACAGCTTCATGTCATCACAAGGTGGAACAGGGCATTTTGAGCTTTGGAGATGTAGACAGATAGCCTGATTCATCAGCCGGTTTCACTTTGTAGAAACCGTCTGACCTAGCAGCATTAGAATTCGTTCACTTGACGGTAGGCGGGTACTTTTTTCATTTAACCAATCACTGTTATTTGGTTGTGACATATGTAATGTGCTTCTAATGGAGCTAACTGGTATATTAAGCTTTTCCCAAATCCCGTAGAAAAAAGGGCAATAACGTCTTTCCCCTTGATAAAATTCACCAAACATTCATTTTTGTTGCCAAAGAATCGTTGCCAACACAGAATGTATGGCTCTTTGCTGATTGGCTGGTGCCCGAACTTGCACTTCCGGGGTTCTTGCAAACCGTCTAGTGTATTCCGATTCCTGACCTAGTCGCTCGAGAGAAATAAAATTGAGCGGAGGCACTAGGTGGCGCCAGCCTGGCTAGTAGACAGACTAATAATAATGAAACAAAACACAATTCCAGGTATGCGTTTTGGGAAGATAACAACATTATAACATGGTTTAAAGCCAATTTTCTTAAATATATGACCTTTGATATGATAATTTCTTCATTCTATAGTATTTACAAGTGTACAACAGCAATCTAAGCTTCCACCTATGTAATACACTATAACTTCACTATTAAACTCTTGAGATTGAAAACTGGAAGAGGCACATTACATTAACATCAGGAGGGACTCACTGCTGTGATGTCAGTGGCCTAAAAATAGAACTTCTCTAAATATTTTACAAATGTGGGGCAACTGAGGCCTCCTTCATTAGTTTTGAGCAAATCTATTTTTAAAAGTGGAATAATAAAACCATTTGGTCGCTGCAGGAATCAAACAATTTCTATAAAGCTTTTTAAGGTTCAAAGTTTCTTGCCCATCTCTGAGTAAAAGGACTTTTAAGAACACTTCAGACGTTATTCTAGACATTAATTTAGGAATAGTTAGAGAAAATATTAACCTTAAAATAATCCTTACATAGAACTGGATGCTATTTCATTTGTATTTTATTTCTTCATTTTGATCAATCACAATTTCTGATCCAATTTATTTATTTTCTTAAAGGTGCACTGTGTGACTTTTTTGGTTGAGGATCCACTATCCGCTGTTTCCAAGGAAATATTTGTGCTTGGTCTGGAATGTTCCACAGTACTGCTTTAACATTTGCAATCTCTAAGGATCTGTGTAAAGGCGCTTTACATGCTCATTGTAAGAATACACGTTTTTCAAAGTATTTTCAAAAAACACTAAAGAAATAAATGCAAGACAGATACATTTAACGCCATACTGTGGAAGATTCCAAGCAAAGCATTAACATCTCCATGGAGACAAGCAAGAGGTGGACACTAACAGAAAAGTTGCACAGTGCAGCTTTAATAAACTAATATAATGGCTTGCAATATTAATTTCATGAACATAAGCAAGACATTTAACACAAAATAGTCCAATTTCTTCCTTGAAAGTCTGAACCACTTGCTTTTACTGACAGAGGAGTAAAAAGCCTCAAGCCTATCACCGGCTGTTTGAAATGATTGGATACTGATTGTAATATAATGTGATTGATTGTACAGTCCTACCTTTACATATTTCTATTTTCATATAAGCATACTGGTGCGCTGAGAGTTTGGGCATCTCAGAGGAAGTGTGGTGGTTGTGACAGTGAGGGACATACAGTGTGATTGGACAAAGCTTGTGTCATGTGATCAGTGTTTTGTGGTTAAGACGTGAGGCAAAAGCATGAGGTGATTAACACAAAATATGTATGGAAAAAGCATGAAGAAACTGTAACCGCACTATACTAAGGCTTTATACAATAATATTATCAGCGGTATCAAGAGTAGTCATTTCTTTTAACATGTGGGTGGAAATAATATTTGAGATTCTTATGTACACAGGTCTATTTGTTTCATACCTTGAAAGTTTCGATTGCACTCTACCCTTTTTCTCAGAAGTGTTACGTGTGACATGTCTGGTCAGCTGATCTAATTTTTAATGCTGTTTCCTCATCACAAACATACAAAGAGATGTCAAAATTAAAACCGTCTGTTCTACTTTGTGATGGCATGTGGTAATACAGGGCGTGCTCCACTTTTTAAACTCCACCCACCCTAGAGTCATTTGGATGATTTCAGCCCTAGATCTGGCAATCTCTACTGAATTGAAGATAAAAGGTAGATGTTAACTTGAAAACTACTGTTTCGTGACATGGAACAAAGCATTTGGTGTTAAAGATGTGGACAGACTAATAATAGAGAATTACTCAAATGTGTGAATGAAACAAAACACAATCCTGGTATGTTTTTGAGGAGGTAACAGCGCACTAGAATCAATTTTGTGTAATGCAAGAAATTTAAAAAGATTTTGGCATTGTCTTCATCCTTCGAGCACTACGATGACAGCGCCAGGTGTGAAAGAGTTGATGCTCCCCTTCATCCTGATTCACAGTCTGGTTGGCGTGTTTCCGGATCTCAATGGCCTCCCGGACCCAACAATTGCATTTGTTTCTCTCTGTGCCTATGACATTGTCCCAGTCTATGAGATGGTTCTCCCTCTTGCAGTGGTCTGATATTTCGGACTTAACTGCAGATGGCGCTGTCGTCCCACTGCTCCAAGTATGGAGATAGAGCCAAAATCTGGTGCCTGCCAGATACTTGTCTCAGTGGAGATGTCATTGCTTTACCTCCAATATTTCAAACTATAGCATTAAATTTTACAGCCTCCACAGAAACAAGCAGGAGATGCCACTAGGCCAATTTACAGGTGAGATCTGTGAAGCGGTGAGTCCTCTCACAGTAAGAATGCATGTTTTTAAAGGTACTTTTGAGCAATAAAAACATTCCATATCCTGAATAATTGCATCTTAAGTTTAATACCATATTGTGGAACATTACAGGCAAAGCAATAGCATCTCCATGGTAGCGGATCCCCAAACTGAAAAATTACGCAGTGCAAATTTAAATCAGCTGACCAGACACACTACAGCAACATCATGTGACAATTCTGAGAAAGGCAAGTGTAGTCACTGTGAAGGTATGAAACAAATAGAAGCCTGTAAATAACAATCTAAAATATAATCAATACAGAAGACTTAATGAGCCTCATCAGATTATATAGGTAGGAAATCTAGAGATGTCTGTAGACAGCGAGAATGTTGTTGTGGCATTTAAATAGGAAATATTGACAAGCTGACTTAAGAAATGCTAAATTCCAAAATTGTAAAAAAAAAAATAAATTGGTTTAGGTTTTGCTGCATTAGAATTTCACAAATTTCATCAACTCTGCTGAACTGTCCAAAATCATTTTCTAGTGTAGATTAATCACGATGGCATTGAAATCGCAATTAGCAATCTTAAAGGCAATTTTTTTTTAAATGTACCATTGTTTCCTCCACAAGAACACAAAACAATATATCCTGTCTTATTCTGCATATTACATGTTAACCCTATCATTTAGATGACTACAAACCATAGACTATATAAAGAAGTGGACTAAGGGAGTGTGACGTCACCCATAGTGTTCAGCTCCAGTCAAATAAAGCTCACCGAGGTTAGCAGTTATGGGGCAAATTTGGAGCCGAGTTCCAAATTTGGAAAAGGAATTGATTTACAGACAAAATAGTGAAATATTTGGAATATGGCAGCTAGGACATTAGCTATGTCCACTTATATACTGTATATGTATATAAGTGTTACAAACATGTCCTGAATGAGACAAAATGAACTCTGTATACTTGCTAACTTATAGAACTTCGTGTGTAGTTATTATTTTAGTATTACTAAATAAACCGATGACACAGTTGTGGAAGGAAACATGCCTGTTAAGCCAGAAGATGTTGAGAGATTGTAGAGATTATTTTTACCATGGGTGGGGGTCTTGTCTCTTCTGCGGACCCCTGTGTTTCGTCCTCGGTCATAATCAGGTCCTGGGGGTCCCTCTCCTTCGAGCAGAGAGAAGTACTGCCCACTCTCCTGGTCCAGATAGTAGCTCACGGCCTCAGACCCTTTGGAGCCAGGCTGGGAGCTGTAGCGGCTGATGTCGTCACAGGACATGAGGCCCAGCTCCTCCCTAAAGGCACAGGGCAAGATCAGACCAATGTAGGGCTGTAGTCCACTTTGTAGTCCAATACTTGGTCCACTAAAGACATGAACTGGCTAGTCAAATAAAAAGGGTGTGTGGCAAAAGCTCTCCAAACTTACATGTACATATGACGTCTACCTTAGCCATCAAAAGTTTGGACACACCAAGGTAAATAACTCAGTAGCCACCCTGTTTCTTGAAAAATATTTACTGAATAATATTTAATTTTTTACCCTTTTACCCTACATAATTTGCTTCATATATTTGACGTCTTCCAAATGTATCTAAAAGGTGTGTCCAAGAATTTGACTGGTAGTATGTCCCAAACTGCACTCACAAGACTACAACTGGAAGGGAGTTCAAGCAAAGTTAATCGAATAAACGCCTTGAGGACCACAGGCATCACACCGATGTAATATACTCATTAACAGAATCAGTGTCTACAAGCACAAATCTGTTCGTTATCTGATTTATGGAGATATCAGATTGGTGAAATATCATGTAAACACTGGCTGCTATTTCAAGCACACTCAGAATCTGATTATTAAAAGGTTTTTTTTGGGTTTTTTTTTTTTCAATTTTAAGACAGCAAAATCATCTTTCATCTTTCTGATTATGGTCCGTCTGATTACTCTTATCTGATGTTGTGGCTTACATGTCATTTAAATAATCTTAAAGGCCTAGAAATCACATAATCAGATTTTTTAATCAGATAGAAAGAGAAATGGTTAAACATTGAAAGAATTTAAAATGAATAGTACTGTAGTGTTTTCCAATTACATTAGCTACTCAAAAAATCCATTGATTAACTGAGATGTCTTCAGAAATTTTGATGATCAGATTTCTTGTGTGCTTGTACCAGTCAGATCTAATTATTGGGTTCTCTGACTATTCGCATTATCAGATTTTAGTAGCCCTGTAAGAGCAGAGAGAGCGCCCTCACCTGGTGCCGTAGAGTCCAGACACAGGGGACAGGATGTACACGTCCTGCATACTTGGGGCGTCCATTTTGGACATTCCCAGTGTCCCGCCTGGGGTGGGAGAGGTGCTCGTGGGGCTGGTGGGGATGGGCTGTGGAAAGACAGAAAGAATACACTTGAGTTAAATTCTTCTTTAAACCCTCCCTTGAATTTGGACTCCTACATTTAAAAAAAAGATAAAATGACCAAATATATTAACAAACAGCAGTTATTTCAGACAAATAGACTGCAATCAGTGTGCTTTTGTTCCTATAACTGTTTTCAATTATGGTTGTAAGATTAATTAATTAATTTAGCAAAAATTAATTTTTTTATATAACACTATTTTTAATGAACTGAACCTATAACCAAAGTTTTACAGGGACCCATTTATTCTATAGGCATTCTCCTCTATTGTACAAGCCTATTACAACAATATTTTAGGCAATGTATACTGAATATTTATATCTTGATTCATGATACACTGTACTCATATTGCTTCTAGGAAATTATTTCAACTAAATGAATACAGACTTACAGATGGACAGACAGCAGCTATCAAAATTTCTGAAATTTGACCAAACTGAATTCAAAAGAATGCCCATCTCTTACTCAGTTGGTGCCTGCATTTCTGATCTGACCATTTGGACAAAACAGCCCCATCTCTCCCACAATCTCCTCCATCTGTCTGACTGTCGAATACTGACAAAATCACCCTCAAAATCATACACATATATTTAGTTTTGTCTTTAAATGTGCAGGAGAGATACAAACTTCAAAATCAAAGCAAAAGACCTAAAACCCTGCAACTTGATGTATAATTATTGAGAAAGTACAAAAACTAAAATGGCTGCTCTCTCTTCCTCAGTGCAAAACAAACAGGAGCACATTGGGGCAGAAGAAAAGTCTTTATTTGTAAAGCTGCATCTGCCGTTTGTTTAAACAACAAATCCTCAACAGAAAGACAGTATTTGCACCGAGCTGAGAGCCATCTTTTCAAACATCTCTCTTTCTCACTGTTTTCTCCAAAGCTAATCGAGGAAAGAAGAAAAAGATATTATAGCGAGACATGATTCAATACCTTTAGCTATATCTTATTCATATTTGAATCCAACTGAATTGATTTGACCAACAACAGCTCTACCACCACAGAGATTACAGTGAAATTATAATGATTATATCTAATTTATTGTCAGTGACTTTTGATGTTGGTCCTGCTATGAATAGCATGCATTTATAATTAATTATATACATTTTTTGTTAAACTCTAAAGGAAGCTTAAACACAGCATTTAACTTCTGTTCTAATTGAACACAGGGGTGGGATTTAATATAAAAAATATATATATAAAAAATATAAATAATATAAAAAAATCCACATTAAATGTATTGGATGCATGTATATTTCTTGTGTTCATTAATGCTTGAAATAAATATCTAAAATTAAAAACATAAATAGATAAATGTATACATACCCATATATTTCAATTACCAAATTACCATTACCATTGACTAAAGAGATACCACACCATTTATTCTAAATTTTAATTCATTTCTTGTATTTTTGTTTTATTTTATTGACATGACATGTATTATTTGCACTAGGCTTCTGAAACATTTGGTCCAGAATGCACACTTCTTCAATTCATTAGAAAGATGCGAGTTTGGCCGCAAGTGAATCTCCCTGAGTTCAGGTCGTGATTGAAAGGTGGACTAGCCAATAATAATAATAATAATAATAATAATAATAATAATAATAATAATAATAATAATAATAATAATAATAATAATAAGATCTCTGTGGACATGCAAGCAACCTAAACAGCAAGGGACTTTGTCTAAAAGGCGAATTAAGAAGAAAGCATAAAAACACAATAATAATGTCTATTAACTAATCTAAACTTGGACTAAACCAGTACTACAATGATCTATACCTCACTTATGATCAAGCCTATAGAACAAAACCAGGGCATTCATTTCAAAGATTTCTGGGTACCACCAGCGTTTTGCGTACCACACTTTGGAAACCTTTGCTCACTACTTAAGCTAACGACAATATAAATGGCTTTTAATTGTATTACAGGGTCTTTCTTCTAAACCTTTTTTTTCCTCTTCTGTGTTCAAAAGCTCTACTATCTTGTCATTTAGGTCTAATTTTCTCTTCTTCTCTCATGCAGTTCGCCATGTCTGTTCCCATGACAACCATCCCCCTTGCTCGCCCTAATTGTGCACTGTGTGAGAGATAGGGAGGGAGAGAGGAAAGTGGAAATAGTGTAAGCCACCAGTTTGGCTGCACACATAAACCAAGTAGTGTCATCATTTCCTTTAGTGAAGAGGAATAAATCAAAGAAACAAAAGCTAGATGATGAATGGATTTGTACACATTTTTAATTATTATTACTGCACAATAGACACAACAGAATGTAAGTTATAACATAAATATTTGCACTATTTATAAAATTACTTATACCAGGTCTAGCCATTGATTCCATGTCATGTCATGTCATGAAATATCCAAAAGGTAAATTCACAAATGTTGAAGCAGATCATTTCTATCAGTGATTTCACCCAAGAATTAACCGTATAACAACAAAAATCTGCATTTCAGCTATATTCATTTTAGTTGCCCCTGATGTGTAATACATATTGTTGGTCTATAATATGGTGTGATGTCATTAGTATCTTTATTTATTGTTTTGATGCTGCTTTTAGTTTTGAGTCCATGTTATAATGTTGTTACCTCATCAAAAACATACCTGGAGTTGTGTTTGTTTCATTCACACATGCGTTATTATTAATCTATCTACATCTTCAAAGCTCAAAATGCTCTGTTACAACTTGTTATGTGGTAGTTTTCAAGGGAACATTTACCTTTTACCTTTATTTCAAAGGAGATTGGCAATACCAGGGAAAAACTCAGCCTTAATATGCAGGGTTTGTGTGTTAAACATATGTAAATGAAATGGCATGGGCCCTCAAACAAATAAAAAACTGCAATGTTTAGCCATTTATTTTTACTCAAACTATTTTGTCTCTCTCTCTGTTTCCTTCTCTGCTTCTCTCCCCCTTATTCTATCCCATGTTTCCTCTCTACCCTCCCCCTCTCTGAGCCCCCTCTCCCGTGTTCCCTGGTGCACAGAGTTTACAGTGAGACCCCTCATGATAAATAATGAAGACTCGGAGAAAGACGGGGTAAAATTGAGGAGGGGCCAAGGAGCGGAGAAATAGGACAAAACTACAAAGGGAGCAAGAGAGAGAGGGAGAGAAGAGAGAGTGATAAAAGAAAGCTTGATACGTTTTATAACATCATAACAGTTCTGCAGTGAAACCAAATCGGAGGTATATCTTTTTTCATTTTCTTTAATTATTTCTTTATCTATCAGTTATAATAATTAAAATGTAACTGAAGAAGACTTATTTTGAAGATATATAATGTTTTTGTCTGCTCTACAGTATACTGATAAACTAGGACAGCTGTGTATCATTATTTAATATTCTTTGACTGTGCCAAATTCAAATTGACATGGCACTGTTGAATACTACGTGCAGCGTTTGGCTTTTTAAGAATATAAATACATAAATCAATAAAATAAACTGAGAACAAAATAGGTAAAGTGTCTCGGGCATATATGGGGCATAGGGGAAAACAAGAACTTTTAGGGAATAGATAGGGGTGGGATGAGATGCAATGGTTAAATTAACTAAATTGTCTAAAAGTTTGTAAATTGTATTCTTCTGAGTGAAATAAATAAAGCTGTATATTTACTTTTTTACTGATTACTAAGTGAAAGACAGAAAGAGCTGTATAGCAGGATGCCCAAAAGAAACCAGGCACAGCTACAAAGAGAGAGAGACAGAGAAGCATGTGCAATGTGGCGACTGGAGCTGAGAGCAAAACAGTAATTTAGTCATTATAGGCCTGCACCATCACAGCTGCTACGCTCCTGTTGGCCTGTAGAGGGGGTGTGGAAGAGGAGAGGGGTGGAAATAAACAGCACGGGAGCATTTCAGGAGTAAAAACAGCACTTAAACCATTGGACCCCCACTGAGTCCACTTCAGAGAGGCCAAATATGCAAGCCCCGAGTCTCTAATCTAATATTCAATACTGTCGATCAACCACTGTAAAAGCACATGCAGCCCTGTGTAAATTAATAAAGAAATTGTACTAAAATTATCAGAAAAGTTCAATTATTAAAGGCCCATATTATGTTATTTTCTGATCTATGTGATCTGTGTTTCCTCATCAAAATCATACCTGGAGTTGTGTTTTGTTTCATTCACACATATTTAATACTTAAAACCTGCAAATTTAGGCAGGACTGAGTAGAGTCACTCTGTTCCACTTTCTGATGACATGCAGTAATACGGGCAGTGCTATTGTGTTTTTAAACTCCATGCACCTTCACTAGAATCATCTGGATCATTTCAGGCTTGAAATTGACCATCTCTGCTGAACTAAAGGTAAAAGGAGCTGCATACTTGAAAACCTCATGACATCACAAGGTGGAACAGAGCATTTTGAGCTGTGGAGATGTAGACAGACTAATAATAAAGCCTTGCATATAACATGTGTGAATAAAACAAAACACAACTCCAGGTATGTTTTACATTCTAATGTGGTTTAAAGCTCATAATTGTCAATTTTATGTCCCAGAAAATTCAAGTATATGTTGTTATAAATATATTGTAAATATGGCTATTTTTAATTAATATTCATTTACACAACTTGGTTGTTTATTTTAATCCCATATTTGCTAAAAACAACATATTAAAATGTTGAATTTGTTTCAGTTTCTGTCATAGTACTGAACATTTTCCTTTGATTCAAAATTGTGCGTGAATTGTTGATATTGTAAAACAAATCTTTAATCTACATCTCTTAAAATACTGTTCACTTCAACTGTCAAAAAATGTCAGTGGTTATAATGATATGGCTGATCTCTGTATAGTTCTTTTGTGGACTTCTCAAACACATGGACTCAACTATAGCATTTCTATGCAGCATGTTATAGGCTTTAAATTAAGCTGCATAAATGTATAAGAGACTTGGAAGTAAAAAGGGCATTACCATAAAGTGAACCTGACCTAGATTCATGATTTTAAATGAGAAAT